GTAGAGTTCTGGAATACGACCCTTAGTGTCATAAAAAAATTATTAAAAAAGTGGAAAAGGAATTTAGAAAATACGATTTAAATGTTAAAAAGATTACTGAATGAAAGTAATACATATATATTGTAGTTTGTAAGTGTTTATACAAAATTCAATATTATTTAGAAATAAAATTAATCCAATTCATTTTTCGCAATAAGATCCAATTAGTAACTTTTTTCAACTTTCAAATCGTGTTGTCAAAATTCCACCATGTTTGAGTTACGACAATATTTGGTTTCATGTACGAAATGCTTTACCATCTATCCAAATGGTATTTATCGACATCATCAGGCGACGGTGGAAACATTTGTGGTCGCACCACTGTCTGCCATTTCTCCGGTACGTCTTCGTACTTCTCGTAGAACACCATATCTTTGGAAGCCGGGCGCCAATACGTCATACCTGGATGAAAGATAAAAGTTTTATTTTTTCGTAAATAAATCGCGTATATTTATTTGTTTTTTCAAATCAGCCAACGTTTCGGGCTCTTTACTGGGTGTCTACTCTGGTTCTCCGTTCGACATACGTGCGAAACAATTACTGTGAAACATAGAGTATATAACTAGAAATATAGACGAAATGTAATTTAATTTGTTTGAAAACTATTATGCCAAATCTTTACGGTGACAACTGCGCTCTGATTGGTCAGCCCGAATTCGAAACAAATGACGGGTGTCGTCAATTGTTTCACTTCAAATCGTCCAGTTTAAGTTGAGCTTTGCTATAATGGACGAAAATCGAAGAATTACATATTCAATATTTAATTACCGATATAATGTGATTCCGTTTGGTTTGTAATTAATTGTTTTGCTGTTTTTTCCATACCACCGAATGGAACAGTCTCCCATAGTTAGAGATATTATTTTTATTCATATAATAAACTTTATTATAATAAATACAGAATATTTTTGGAATATACGGAGACGTACACACAGGCCAGTTGTTGACGCTGTATTATTTCAGTTATCTAATTTGTGATTTCAGTGCAAACGAGAGTTGATATTTGAAAGTGATATAAGGCCCATTTGCCTGATAAGTTGCCAGGGATGGACGGGGCTTATTTCGCCTCTATTTCTGGTTGTATACTCGATGCTGTCAAATAAGTGATACTCGACCAAATGATGTAAATGAAGCTTCATACTTGACATTGTCTTTTGGCCGGACTGAGAACGGGAGTAGATCCCCAGCGACCACGGGCGACGGCATTCCATGTTCGCTGGGGTCGCTTTTTTCAATAAACTTATTATTGAATTTCGTCAGAAAAATCTTGTTGAAGTTATCCTTTGTACAGCGCGACATAACTGTTACGTAAACTGTCACTTCCCCCGCACCGCGCAGCTACCTCAGGAATCGACTCAGTTAAGTAGGCCTGTAGTCCATGAGTTCTCATTTAAGAGTCTATACAACCTCAAATGGCTTTGGTTGATTACGCATAACAGTGAAAGTGTTCAAACAACCACTTTGGATTTTTGATGGAATTTGTTCGGACCGAGAGACTCAGGAGACAGTTGGGCAGTATAGTCAACATACGGCAGACTGGGTGGTGTAACAGTATACTGGCCGTACCGTCGTCGAACGAAGCCAAAATACTGTACAAAATATATTTAGATAGTCTTAGGTTAGATGTATAAATTAAGTAGCATTACGGAGCGACATTACTATTAAAATACACAGTAAAGCTCCTTAAATATAGATTAAAAAAAAACACTTTGGAAAAATATATATACATATACAAATATATAAAATTGAAGATATACACTGGTTACTATACGGTGTGAAAACACGATTCTTAAAAATTATTACAATAGAAAAAAAAAAACACTAACTTATCTCGGAATTACCAATGATTTTTTTTTTATATTAACTGAACTAAATAGAACACGTATAGTATACGATATGAATTTATCAAATGGCTTTAAAGTAGTTTGTAAAAAAACACTCAAGCGAAATCAACCGTATTAATTAAATTTTTATTGAATTGATATTCAATTATTTTTTTGTGAAATTACTCCACTACTTTATTATAATTATTAATACAAAGATCGAACACTCAGAAAACACACATAGAAAAAATTCCTTCGAGCCGGTCGGATTCGAAACGACGTCTTCTTGCATACCGTGCCAGACGCTATAGCGTTTTGGTATACCAACTAAGCCACGGAACGAACCAACGGAACTCACAAATTTTTCTATGTGCTTGCGTCGTGTCTTTGTACTTGGTCTTTCAACGACTTTTTAGTCGTAGCGCCATCTATGAGAAATCTATGACAGATTTATCACCCAGTTAGTACCTTTACAGCTACCAGTCCTGGCCAGAGATGTCGCTATTCACTGTATTAATTAAATTTTTATTGAATTGATATTCAATTATTTTTTTGTGAAATTACTCCACTAGTTTGCTATAATTATTAATACAAAGATCGAACACTCAGAAAAAATTCCTTCGATCCGGCCGGATTCGAACCGACGTCTTCTGGCATACCGTGCCAGATGCTATACCAACGAAGCCACGGAACGAAACCGTATTAGTACGGGAAATATTTGAATTTGAGCCAAGGTAGCATCTACTCTTAATTGTGGATTCTTATGAGAATAAAGATTCTTAAGCCCAAAAGGTACTTACCCTTAATAAATTTAAGTCCCGGCAGCATATCAGTGACATCTACCAACTCGATACTATCTCCTGTCTCTTGCAGTATTCTGTGTATGACAGCTTCGTTCTCGATCGGGTTAAATGAACACGTGGAGTATACAAGTTTGCCTCCGATGGAGAGGAGTTCGCAGCCGCGTTTCAAGACGCGGTATTGGATGCTGAAATTAATTAAGTTTCACATCATCGAGAAAACAAAATAGAGTGCTAATATCGGATCACATGACACTGAAACGTGTTTTTTTTTCTTAAATAGTTTTTATTATTACGTAGCTAAATAATTTTGTAGTTTATGCATATTGTATACCCCATGGAAGAATGGCATAAGTGAAGGTACGTCAAAAACGTTTATTGCTTCATCTGGTATCTGTACCTAAAGTACAAAATAAAAAATAAAATAAAATGGGCTTTATTTGACATGCACAAATTTCAAATAAAAAAAATAAATAAATAAAAGCATGTCAAAAGCTTGACTATGCTGATTACATAGCCCTCGCTGTTATTGTGTCATGGCCTGTCATAATATGGAACACCATAATTCAAATAATAATACAGATACAGATACAGGGTCCGTCCCAAAAGTATCGAACATTTTTTTTGGGAGTGTTGCCGAACGGCGGGAAGCGCTCCGCTTGGCAACAGAAAGTGGTGGGGGGATCTAGCCGATACAGCGCGACCGGTCCCAGTTGGCTCCGAGCACCTGGAGCGGCAGGACGTGCGTTCGCGTAGAGCTCTAAACGACACCTCGTCGAAGTTTTTAAAAGTAGCGCGATGACGGATCCGTTAGAACAGAGGTACGCAGTGAAATTTTGTGTTCTACTCGGCAAAAATACTGTGGAAACCAACGAGATGATTAAACAGGCCTTCAAGGACAAAGCCTTGTCCGAATCCTCGGTCAGGAAGTGGCACAAGATGTTCCGTGACGGAAGGGAAGAGGTGACCGACGAAGCCCGCTGGTCCCGCAGCCTCCCTACAGTCCTGACGTCGCCCCGGCAGACTTCTTCTTGTTTCCCAGCATCAAGTCGAAGCTCAAAGGCAAGCATTGGGGCACAATTAAGGACATCCAAGAAGCTACGACGAGGGCGCTGAAGGACCTACCCGTTGACGTCTTCCAGGGGGCCTTCCGGGCATGGAAAACTCGCCTACAAAAGTGCATCGATGCTGAAGGGTGTTATTTTGAAGGGTACTAATGTATGGTACCGATAAGTTCAATAAAAGTATTTTTCCTGAAAAATGTTCGATACTTTTGGGACGGACCAGATATATATGTTACATGGTACGTACAAAACAAAAATCAAAATTAAAATAACTGACAAAAATAAGTGATTAAAATTTGACATAAGCAACAATTGGACAAAGTAAGTAATCAATTTGAATAATAAATAAGTAATCCAAAAAGCATAATACCAAATATGCTATCACAAAGTCGAAATTTTTTTGTTCGAAATAACGTTTGTTAAAATTTTCATTACACCGAAAACCGAATTATAACGAAACAGTTGTTCTTTCAGGATATGTTGAATATTTCTCGAAAGACACGATTACGTTCGGTTAAGTTAGGTTAAAAAGAAAAAACATTTTCCTCTCCAAATTACTTTCGAAGTTATGAAAATTCGACCAAACGTTATTTCTGGAAAATGTCATTTCCGACTACTGTTAGGCAACCTACCAAACATACACATCAAATAATAGTACACAACTAGGCACTAACTAAATCAAATTAGACAAAAGCAACAATTAGACAAAGAAAAAAACTCTATTTGAGTAAATTACGGAACTGGCCGTCGGAAGGAGGTTTTTAAAAAGGCAATTTTGTCCTTTATGATATTTAATTAATAAAAACGTTACAATAGGTTTGCCTTAAAATAAATTATGATATGACTGCTTCGCTACAGCGATTGAGCGAGAGTGAACTCTAAAATTTTACATTCATACATCTTGATTTCCACACTGCACTTTTGGGAATTTAACTAATGATTCATTTGTCTTTCGCAATCACTATTGGTATGCAACGTCGTCATGAAGTAACGCCATGGGTAACAAGTAATAAAAAGTTATTTAAATAATAATATCAAACATACACTAATACACAGAACAGACATACAAACATTAGCTTACTTTTTAAAGCCTGCGTCCCGAGATTGCTTTTCAAACAGCCACATCCTCTCCAATTCTTGTAAATCTAGCGACTAATATTGTAGATAGAGTTACAAGAATTGGAGAGGACGTGGGTTATATTTTTCTTATCTAATGGAGGAATAAACATTTTTGACTTTTCTTTACGTAACTACTTATGCCATTCTTCCATGAGGGGTGCGATATGTGGCTTGCACTATGTATGTCGGATAAGGAAGTCCCGGGTTCGATTCACGGTGGGACCAATTTGGGAAATCGACTGTTCTTAATGGGTTCCGGCCTAGGTCATTTTTTTATACCACGTGACGGGACGAACAAGTCGTGTTGTTTCACAAGCTCTACTGCTATTAAAAATGCCCTAAAATGTGAAAGTAAATGTCGTTGCTTTGGTATTCGTTTGGTATAGCACAGGGAATCCGTGGGAAGGATATTTATGCTTACATAACTTACCCATGCAAGTTATTCCCATTGCCCGTAGACCACTTAAGCCAGATGTCCGGGTTCTTTCGAAGTGTGGCATCGCCTGAGCACGGTACGTCGCACAGGATTCGATCGAATTTTACTGGTTTCGTTGAGTCTGGGTTCTGTAATAATAAAATTTAAATTCATTAATTACTTAGTGATACACAAGTTACATATGTGTTTAAAGTCTTAACTATAAAAAGAGGTAGCTCAGAAGGAGATAGCTTACCTGTTCATCGGTCATGACCAAAGAAGGCATGACGGCAGAGTCGTGATTGGTGATGAGGATGCATGGGGAGTTGAGCCTCTTGGCTTGGTGGACCAGCATATAACAGCGGCTGTTGTCCACGTCGTTCGCAATCACGAAACCTGCAGTAATAGAAAATACAAAGATGTAGTCCGTCTCTAACTGCAGCATATATAATTATTTCTGTGGCATTATTAACACGGTCCCTGTGCTCCTATATATTTCCTATTCACTTTGGATCATCGAGTATACAATCAGACATAGAGACGAAATGTCATTTAATTTGTTTGAAAACCATTCTGCCAAATCATTACTGTGATAACTGCGCTCCGATTGGCTAGCCCGAATTCGATAACAATTGACGGGTGTTGTCAATTGTTTCACTTTAAATCGACCAGTTTAAGTTGAGCTTTGCTATAATGGACGAAAATCGAAGAATTACATAGGTATTTAATATTTAATTACCGATAAAATGTGATTCCGTTTGGTTTGTAATTAATTGTTTTGCTGTTTTTTCCATACTACTGAATGGAACAGCCCCCCATAGTTATTATTTTTTATTTATATAATAAACTTTATTATAATAAATACAGAAAAAAAAAGACCAGTTTATAGTTAAACTCTACTAAACTAAATTTTTCGATTTGACGAAAATTGAAAAATTACATATTTAATATTTAATTACCGATTAAATGTGATTCCGTTTGTTTTGTAATTAGATGTTTTGCTGTTTTTCCCACACCACCGAATGAAACAGCCCCCCAATGTTAGAGATATTATCTTTATTACAATAAATACAGATTTTTTTCGAATATATGGAGACGTCCACACAGGTCAGTTGTTGGCGCTGTAAAAACTGTAAAACGTGGTCTGGACGAGGGTACCCTTGATCATATTTTCTTTGAATGTCCTAAATTGACTTCCTCCTTGTATGACCTCCTTCCTTCCTTCCTTCATTCCTTGTCCTGTTAACCTTAAATCCCCCCTTCTTTATGTGTATTCTCACTTTATTAACATTTTGTGTGATTTTATGTGTTCTAATAATATAATGCTTTAGTTGGTTGTTTGTCCATGATTGTTTTTTCACCCCGGGTATGATCTCCACAAAAGCATTCCGTCGAATAGATTCATCTAAAAATAAATACCTTGCTGCTACGAAACGTTTTGGCGTTATTGATCAATATTAACTGACAACATTAATTGAAACTGACACTGGCCCAAGCCTAGTATAGGATAGAATAGACTTCCACATAAACTATAATAATAATAAATAATAAATAAATCTTTATTGCAAAAACAAAACAGGTACAAAATAGTGCTTAGCTCCCAAACTAGGATCCCCTGTACTATGGGTAACTACAACTCTCTGACTACAGTTTATATGAACTAACAATAAATTGTTTCATTAAAAATTGTATGTATTACCTGTCGGCATTTTATCCTCGTCGGCATGCAGAAACTCGATTAGTTGAGCTGTTTTGGAGCCAGGCGCCGCACACATATCTAGCACCTTAAAAGTTAAAGTATAAGACTGAAAATTGATCGAACAATTTGTAAAACTTTTGCAGTCATTCAACGTTTACATGCTTTATAATTAAGGAGCGACCTCGACGCAGCACAGTGACCACTAGAAAGATGATAAGGAAATACCCATAAGAACCTTATCCTTATTATTTGTATACAGAATCATTATATATATATATTTATTGATTTAAACTTTATTGTACAATATACTGAAGTACGAATGACGGACTTAATGCCATAAGGCATTCTCTACCAGTCAACCATTGGGCCAAACAGAAAAAAAAACACAATAGGTTGGTGCTACACTTAAACAAGAACAACAATATACTAGAAAGCTAATCAATAATTTGTATAGTAAATAACAATGTAAAAATACTTATTATACATACATAATAAACTTACATATATATATTATAATAATAAATAATATAATATATGTACCCAAAGCAACATTATATAGTCTTGATTTTGACAATTGTCAAACAGATGCTTGCGCATCATGCGCTTGAAAGATCATTTGGTCTGAGCTTGTCTTATATGGAGCAGGAGCGCGTTCCAAAGATGGATTGCATGAAGGGTAAAAGAATTAGATAAAAAATCAGTACGGTGAGAAGGAATAGAAAGCTTAAGGCTGCGGGAAGATCGAAATTCGCATCCCGGCCGAGCGGTTTGTAATTGAAATAGGACTTGCTTTATCCATAGATTTGCATGCCGAATGCAGTAAAATATGTGTACTGTTTTATTATGTATACTTGTACCACGTATTGTAAACCATATTTTAAGCAAATATATGTCATTCATTCATTAATCTGTAATCGTAGCGGAATTGTAGTGCAACTGTTGCACTTGGTGTGCCACCGGCTTTTTCGTTGCCGTGCGCAACTTGCTTGCGCAACCATTTTGGTGTCGGCAAAATATCAACGCTGCAAACTTATAAAGTTGGCAGCATTGTGCTGCGCCGAAACCTTTTCAGTACATTATTTGTTGTAACCTTCCTTTTTTTGTTATATGTAATGCAGTGATGTAATGTGTTGAATAAAAGCTTTATTCATCTAATTATCAATATCGTGAATAATAATTACCTTATGATGTGGTTTGACATCCAAAACAACAGGCGGTATCATGGACACGGCCTCTTGCCGTGACACGCCACCGGCTGCTGTCTCGGCTACGAGGAAATTGTGAAGCTTGTACAGAGGCTCACTGCGACGAATATCGGTGCGGGAGAGGCGTAGTTGCCATGCTAAACCACCAGGGTACCTAATGGAAAAAAGCCAGGTATACACTTGAAATTTACAACATTAGGTCAGGTCATAATAAGAGCGTTGTTTATCATTCCCCTATCATTAGTTCAATCTTATTGTATTTTGAGTGCATATTGAAATAGGAATAAAATATAAATATCATAACAGCTAGATCGCAGAGCAAGGTAAACAATATCTCTGTTGTATATTATAATATCTGAAAACTTTGACAGATATTTTTATTTTATTTCATTAGTCCACTCATATTTCCTAATCTGAGCCCTTTTTCTCTCAACTCTCTTTCTAATCCCATTTCCTTTTTGTTAGTTACCCGGTTTAAAAAATAATGAACCTTGTCAATGGGTGAAACCGCAAAAAACAAAACAAATAAATGTAGCACTGAATGCAGTTTGTCAAATACTTGGTAGAAACTGTAACTGAAATGTCAATACCAGTCAATGCTGAACTGAAAATCTTAAGTTGTTGTAAGTATACATTTTTTACTAGTATTTATGTGGTCTGTGTGTACATATTATCCTTTTCTTGTGTATTATGGGTTCCATATTTAAAAGTAAAGAAATCATTTAGTGTTATGTTTACTTTCAAACATAGAACCTATAATATACATAAAGTAGAAAGCAAAAAATGGTATTTTGACCTACAAAAACTTACGTGTGAGATATTGTTATATTACGCTTTACCTCTGAACACTCTGTAATATTTAACATTATATAAAAGTACTCTTACCATGGCAAATTAATAGGCTTGATCTCCTCTTCCTCGTTACCAACATTTATTTTCATATTCAATATCTGGCTAAAGTATTCACTTTTGACAATATTCATCAGGGCATTTGCCTCGCACTTTGAACCTGTGATGCGGAACGCGGTAGGCAGGTTTTGTTTCAGTGATGACATGAAAGGACTCCATTCTTCTTCAGGGCAGACTTTTTGGGCCTGAATAGTTAAATAGTAGTTTATGTGACTGTTACATAATGAAAGGCATTATAATACGGGTGAGGGTTTATGAAATGAGCCGACAGTCGAGTTTCATAAAAACATTTTACGAGTGTTTTAATGCCTAATTATGTACAGTGACATACACTGCTTTATCTACACACATATTATAAGCTCTCTGTGACGTGTTGAGGATATGCATGTTACGACTGGCGAAATGGCGGCAAATAAAAACTTTTCTCACGTAGGTCACACAACCATAGTTTTTATTTATATTTCATAGACAAACTAGAACCAGCTCCAACTATCATACCATTCAATATCAAGTAACGTGTGAAATTGTCAAAATGGTTTGCTAAATCGAATAAAACTTAATCTCGACTGATATTAGAATTGAGGTCCAATTAAATTGTTTTGTTTTTCAGAGATGTTTGAAATTTGAATGTAATAATAACATCGAATTCAATGTTATTATGAAGCAATACTAACATTTTCACAGATAAGAAATTTGTTCTAACAAAACAGTTCACATTTTTGCTCGAATTTGCGGGTTTTGAACACATTATAGAGAGTTTATGATATGTGTGTAGATAAAATAGGTTTTAATATGCTTAGTTGTCTTATTTGCTGTTTCCAAAGTTTTGGAATGTCTTTTGAAAGTATGTAGGATTTTATATTCCAAATAGGAATTAGGACGGATTAGGATTAGGTCCTAAGTAATTGGTTTTAGGGTCCACTGAAAATCAGCATCAAGGAATTAGGATGGATTAGGATTAGGTTCTAAGTAATTGGTTTTAGAGTCCACTGAAAATCAGCATCAAGGAATTAGGACGGATTAGGATTAGGTCCTATGTAATTGGTTTTAGGGTCCACTGAAAATCAGCATCATAGCCTTTTCTTGGGGCAGTGATAATAGCTGAGTGGGTTCATTTTACATACGCCACAGCTGCACAATCATTCTAATTGTGTTAAATATTCAATGTTTGCTTCATTGTTGGGTATGATTTTATTTTCATTTAATTTTTTTGTAATTTTGCTTCATATTTCTTACTGTGTATTTTTGTGTTGTGGCGTAGTAATAAATGATTTTTATTCTAGTTTTTTTATTATTATAAACATGCTAATTTTCTTATTCGTGAACAGGGGTCTTCTCTTGTTCTCCATTCGACGTCCGTCCAAAACTATTAGTATCAAATAAGTAACACTTGATGAAATTAAAAGAGCATGCACCATACGTATTTTAATTTAGTTGAGTATTGCTTGTTTGACAGTAACAGAGTAGTACCCAAGAGAAGGCAAACAAAGGCACAAAAGCGGATGGGAAGGTGACTTAAAATTGGTGGCAGACCCATTTTGGCAGCGATTGACACGGGACAGGGAAAACTGGAAGTTTCTGGAGGACACCTATGTCAAAAGACAAGCTGATGCGGATGTAATTTAATTACAGGAAAATGTTTTGAATTATTAATATTGAAACAATTTTAGTATTAATTTTAATTGGAAATTTATCTATTATCTTTAGTATTAATATAGGTTCAAGATATTTTCATATTTTTAATAATTAATTGTATTTTGTAATAACAAAGTATACTGTAATATTTGAATTGAATTGTATCAGCAATAAAGGCTATTATTATTATTATATTTGACAGTAAATTGATTCGGACCGATATCCGACAGAGAACGAGAGTACAGGGTCATAAGATATACAGACACTTTGGCATGACAGGCATACACACTTTCAACTTTTTACTATCTAATAAGTATTGAACAAAATAGTAAATTTGTACTGGCCGTACTTTACGAAACTAAAATTTATAAATTTTGCAGCAATTATTGCGGACAGGATCTTGTCCAAAAGATTTCTAGGTCGCTCAGTTTGGTATTAAAATGTGGGTGTTAAGTCAATCCTAACATATAAATGTAAACAAACAAGAAAGTAACCTTGTAATACTCCTCAAACACAGCATTTTCTCTAACAATTTCTTCATAATTTTTGCGAACATCACCTGCAGGTTTCTCTTGGGGATTTTTTTCCTGAAAATACATTACAAATGCCTCAAAAAAGCTCAATATAAATACTTGTAACATTCATCACGTTTAAGAGGTGTATTACATACCGCTTCTCGGCGTTCCCGCTTTCGCTGAGCGAATTTATTGACGTTCCTGTTTTTTCGACCCATTCTTTTCAAATAAGCGCCTAAAGAAACTAATCTTTTCTGTGTAAAACACGAAAAAATTAACATTCAATGCAATCGTGTTTACATAAAAGTTAGGTTATGTTTTCGAAACGTCACCAGAGTACAGATTGAACCACGATTGAAGATCCTTGGATACGTTCTGTTAAATATGACTAAAATTCTATGTATGACTAGTTTCTAGATAAAAAAAATATTGCAAATTCATGAAGCAGTGCACTAACATGAAGGCTTATTTTATAGGCTTTTTTTATATATTTATATTCGCATTCTAAATGATCATTTAACCTTTTTCGACTCGTTAACTTTTTTACTTCACACATACACACTACACACTACACACATACTTCACACATACACACTTTACACATACACACTACATATAAACACACGCACGACTGCACAATATTGTATCATATGTAGTAGTATAAAATACAATTTTCCCTTTCCTCCCTTTTACTACAATAATTATATAAATCACCGAAATACCTTCAATTTACTTGATATGTCTAGTTCTGCACAAGATAAACTAAAAAGATCTGCAATTAGTTGCAATATGTACTTTGTTTCTTATACAATCAGTTTTATATACATGGATCCTAATTATGTAAAAAATGGCGTCTCATAAACTGAATATTTACTTCCAAAATGTGCGAGGACTTCGTACAAAGACTCACAGCTGCTTTAATAATATTCTTTCAACTAACTACGACATTATTATTTTGGTTGAGACATGGCTTTGCGCCGGCATATATAACCGCGAGTTGTGTGATGACCGTTACGATGTTTTTCGTTTTGATAGGGATACAAAAGCTACAGGAAAAATCATTGGTGGCGGTGTAATGATTTGTGTTCGCCGTGAATTCACCGCTCAGTGTCAATATATAGACAATGCAGTAATCGCACCTACCGAAATACTTTGGATCTCAATTTCCTCGACTGCATTAAAAACTAACTTTAATCTTAATATTGTTGGCACGTATATTCGTGGTAACTATGAAAACCAACCAACGGATATTATTAACCTATCTAATTTCTTAGAAAACGTTCTCCTTACCAACAAAAGTTCAAACACCAACTCTGACAAATACATCATAGCCGGCGATTTTAACCTACCCTTCATTCAATGGGAAGACGGTGAATATAATTTCTGTCATAAGGGTGAATCATTAGAACTACGTGAATTAAGCAGAGGTTTAGTTAATACCCTCACATTATGCGGTCTTATGCAACACAACAATTTTCAAAATTCTAGTGGAAATGTTCTCGACTTAATTTTTAGTAATTTCAATATCGAAGTAAATATTGTTACACATCCCCTATCCAAAGTAGACTTATATCATCCACCACTCCACCTGGATGCATCTGATATTACTACCCTGCCCTTTAATAATGCCACAATAACTAAAATACAATATCACAAGGGAAATTACGAAAAAATTAACAAAACACTATGTGATATTGATTGGCAAACGGAAATAGATAACAGAAGTATCGATGACGCGGTCGCTTTCTTCTATGAATCACTATACGAATGTATTCACGAATATATCCCCACAAAAACTATTAAGAAAGGAAAAAAGTCATATCCGTCGTGGTACTCAAAAAGCCTTGTTAACATTATGCGAGAAAAGAACAAAGCTCATAAAATATGGAAGAAATATAATAACAGAAGAGATTATGATGAATTCTCGATACTTAGGGCCAGATATCACAAAATACATGCTGCGTGTTATAATAATTATATCTCCTCGGTTCAACACTCGATTAAGAAAAACCCAAAAAGCTTTTGGTCTTTTGTAAAATCTAGAAAAGATGGCAATACTTACCCCCAATCTTTCACCTACGATAATAAGACATTGCAAGAAGGTCCAGATATTGCGGATGGTTTTAGTAGTTTTTTTCAAAGCACGTTCAGCCTTCCAGCCAGTAACTATAGACCTCAAGAGTTATTAGCACCACAAATTTCTAGTGCCAACAATATATCAGGTCTCCATGTGGATGAAAAACAACTGTTTAAAGTGCTTTGTAGTACTGACCCCAACAAAGGAGCTGGTGATGACAAAATACCCTCAATATTTGCTGTTAAATGTGCTAAATCTCTCACACGCCCTTTGGCATTGATTTTTAATAAATCTGTTAAAGAAGGCATTTTTCCTAACAAATGGAAAGTTGCCAGAATTGTCCCAGTTCATAAAAAAGGTCTCCAATCTAAAATAGAAAATTATAGACCGATATCTATTCTTAACGTCTTCAGTAAAATCTTTGAAAAACTTATTTATAGCGCCATTTATCCTCTTATTGCTCGTAGCATCCCACAGGAACAGCACGGTTTCTTGAGGGGTAGATCTACTATTACAAACTTAACACTGTTTTCAAAATTTATAAGAAATAGTATGGAATCCAAATGTCAAATTGATGTAATATATACTGACTTCGAGAAGGCCTTTGACCGGGTCGATCATTTTATCCTTTTAGCAAAACTTCACGTTTTAGGTATACATGGTGATCTTTTGCGTTGGGTTAAGTCCTATCTTACCAATAGATCTCAAACAGTTGTCATCGGTGGCTACAGATCGGACTATGTCAGTATCCCCTCTGGCGTGCCCCAAGGATCACTCCTGGGTCCACTGCTCTATAATGCCTTTTTATATGACATTTATACTTGCATATCACACTCTAAATTTCTCATGTATGCCGACGACACAAAAATATTTCGTGCAATTAAAACTGAAGATGACACCAAATTTCTGCAGAATGATATGAACTGTTTAGTCGAATATTACAGAAGAAATAGAATTGCAGTTAATATTAATAAGTGTCAAGTAATATCTTTCAGCCTTAGTCCCCGTCCTATAAAACAAGTGTACACTATGAATGGTATCCAATTGAATAGAGTGGAATATGTCCGTGACCTGGGCGTTCATTTAGACCATAAATTTACTTTTAGTCACCATATTGACACCATCACCAGTAAAGCCAATAAATCACTTGGCTTCGTAATGAGAATTTGCTCTTCATTCCGTGATCCTGTGTGTATTAAAAACCTGTACTTCTCATATGTGCGCAGCATACTTGACTTTGCATCTACAATTTGGTCACCTAACTACAAAAAGTATATAAATGAAATAGAAGAGATACAAAAGAAATTTACAAAATTTATTAACTTCAAAACCTTTAAATCATTTTCATCTTACAATGACAGCTGTAAGATTAATAATCTCTTGCCCTTGGAACAAAGAAGGATACTTTTGGATATGTTATATTTGTATGATATCTTAAACTCAAATATTGACTGCCCCGAACTGATAGGTGGCTTGGGACTTAATGTTCCGAAAAAGCGAACACGTCACACTTGTCTCATACACGTGCCTAACCATCGCACTAATTATGGACAAAATGAAACTCTGTCACGCATAGGGCACATTTATAATAAATTTTTTGCGGACCTGGACCCTTTCAAATTTAATAAAACGCGTTACAAACTTAAAATAATCCAAAAAATTGGTGAAATCCTTTACATATTTTAATTTATACAAAAGCTCTCGCGCTTTTCTATCATAATTATAATTATGACAGTACACACACTCATGTAAATACATTTATAAATCCACACACACACACTCAAACACACACACATACACTACACAATAACACATACACACAACATACATAACATATCGTTACAACCCAATACCTTTTTGGCAAACCAGCTACCATCTTTTTGTTACTAAAATTGATAATATTATAATATTATTATTTAATAATAACTTAATAAGTTTATTTGTCAATGAAATATCACTGATACCGACTACCACTTTTGTTAATATGGGGCGATCTGTTATTGGCCTTACTAATAAACACCATTTACTCTGTTTTATATACTTAAGAAACGCTGTTGATTGTCTGAAATAAATAAATAAATAAATAACCACTATGTAAAAAACGTTAAAAATAAAACATTACATGGCTAAGAAAAAAATAAAGTGGCCGAATGATAATAAGTTTTGCTGTGTAATTTAAAAAGTCATTACGTCAATCAATTCTTCCCTTCCCCTTCCTCCTTCCCCTGTAAGATTGTTTTGTTCATCGCGATTTTTAAAGAAATTGCCAATTCCTCATGATTTTGCTACAAAATATCTAGAAAAGTAAGTATTACATCAGCTTTATTTACTGACGAACTAAAAACACAACATAATTGCTAAACAATATCTGCACTAAAACTAGATAATGATCCTGTTTGTAATTTAAACATTACAAAGTTACTCCACGGTGTGATCCTTATGTCGTTGATTTAAGGATGTTAAAATTCTAACATACTTAACAAAAAGTTTTAGATAAGAGGAGATGACAATCGCTCGTATTTTAACATTCTTATCTTAATAACTAATAATTTATTACTATAGAGTAACGTGTAATTACTGAGGCACGACGACAGTGCTTCGCTATTAGTTGAGCAGTGAATAGGTAAGATGTAATTATTAGATTTTCTGTACTTTTCCATTAAACTTTATTTGAATAAACTTGTTTATTTTTAATTGCATCGAATGTAAGTACCTACCTTCTAATAACTTTCCTAAATATCAATACCTTCCATGCAAGTCAAAATCATTTTTTGCTTTTTAACTTTATATATTATCCTTTTTTTGTATTTTTTGAGTTCCTTAATTAAATGTAAAGAAACCACAGTGTTATGTTTACTTTCAAACATGGAAAGTATACATAAAAAAAAGGAATTAATATATAAGTCAGGAGCAAAAAATGGTATTTGACTTACAAAAACTTACGTGTGAGGTTGGTATATTTTTTACCTTTTCTGCTTTATAGTGCAGGTGATAAGGTCCCTAAAGACAATTAATTGATTTCTGGATTTAGTGCCTGTGTAATGTAATTCAGCCATGATAATCAACTTTACTACTATACAGAAAGTTTGAGGTGGGGAGCCTGGAAACCTAACACACAGATTTACTTTAGGTTCCAGTCTCCTACAAATTTTGTAGGAGACTTTAGAAAATAAGATCTGTTTCTGTACCAAAATTTGTAGAGCAGATAGTGTAGAGAGTTACGCATAATAAATTTATTATTTATTATTCGAAATGTGTTTTGTAAAAATTGGAAGATGCTGAAATTACGCAACTTAATAATAATAATAATAATGTGTCAAACATCCATACCAATAATCTGGTCTCAAACTAGGAACTTCCATGGATTATGAGTACCAGTGCAACGGAATTCAATCCAGGTCACTAACCAGAACACTCCGTGGTAGTCTAGTGGTTTGATCACCTCACAAGTAGAGGCTGTGTGTTTAAATGTGAAATGATTTGTTGGATTCCATTAAAAAAATATTAAAATTACAGTTTTTTTTCTGGATATACTGTCAAGTCATAGCTCTAGACTGGTAAAGATTGTCAGACAGACAGACAACTAATGTTTTGTACTACATGAGCATTTTAAATCTTTGTTATCTTTAAATTTTATACTCAAGAATTTTTCAATTGTTACCAAACTGCTTTCCATTTTAGCAAGCAGTCGTATTGTAGGTAAAGCACCACTAGTTATAACTTTTATTAGGTCATTTACACCAATCAAATTGCCAATGCCAACAAACATGAAAGTGTTGAAGTTTTCTAAGTTCTTCTTGCCCTTTTCCCATTTTATTTGATCTTCTTGTACTTTAGCAGCAGGGTGCCCTGTTTTGGGTTGTTGTTGATGAGATATTCAGAGAGTTCAGGTATTTTTGTTATCATTTCACATAATATTGTATAACTACATATATAAAATACAACTTTATTTGAGGAAAATATTTAGAGAAAACCTAACAACTCAACATACCAGTCCACCATGGACTATGCCTTAAATTCTCTTTGAAGCTGCCCCATGGCCAGCTGTGGGATTGTTGTTCTTGAAGCTCTTTCTTATTCAAATTCCAGCTACTAAACCACCTACCACAATGGGGAAAGGATTTCAATTTGCAATTGATCGTGGAGGCACCTTCACTGATGTCTTTGCTCGCTGCCCTGATGGTAGAGTCAGGGTCATGAAGCTGCTGTCTGTTGATCCTCAGAATTATGATGATGCTCCTAGAGAGGCTATAAGAAGGATATTGCATGAGGTAAGATAGTAATGTTGCCTTTTCTTTTTTATATTTTTATGGACACTCAAAGACACTTGTGGTTTATAATGTGTCACATCTGACAAATTAAAATTAAGTATCTAACTATAACATTCATGTATTCATTGCTTAGACTATCTTTTATTTTTTTTCCATACTCTAAGATTCATTGTTCACCATATGTTATAAAAATCACCACACCATCACCATATGTCATAAAAAGTCTTACTTAGTGTGTGTTCATATGGACTCCATTGGGGCACTGCAAGGTTGAACAATTTGAGAGAGGAACTCACATGATAAAATAAAATATATCAATTTAATTCTTGATGTAAAATTATAACATATCTCTTATCAAAGTTAAATTATCATTATTATTTATTTAAAATCGATCGATATGGAACTCAGTCAGAGGGTAGGCGCGGGCGCGGCGGCAGGTGCGGTCGCGCGGGTCTTGGCGTCTTCCATTTCACAGTGCCGAAGCGGCTACGAGCGAGTAGATCCACACGTCGCAATTGCAAACAGACGCTAGACCAAGCACTGTGAAACATACGGACGGGCCGAGCCAACAGATTTACCCCGCACGGCGCGCGCACACCCGCGCCTTCGACCGCCTCAACACAGCGCCGGCGCGCGCGGCCACTGTGAACGCAACGAACGTCTACGTATATTTGAATTAAACGCACCCGCGCCTGCACCTGCGCCTGCATCCGCGCTTGCACCTGCGCCTGCATCCGCGCTTGCACCTGCGCCTGCATCCGTGTCAGTGCCCGCACTCGCGGTCCACGTCACTCAGAATAAGGCCATTGGTACGGGTGGACCTAGCCAATAGATCTACCTACCGCATCCGTGCCCGCACCCGCGCCTGCATCCGCGCCCGTACCCGCGCCTGCATTAGCGCCTGCATATGCGCCCGCGCCCGTGCCCGCACCCGCGCCCGTGCTCGCATCCGGACCCGCACCCGCACCCACCGCCAGTCTGTATAAGGCCGTACAGTGTTTAAGACTTCTCTTAAAACATAACAGTAAAATTGAGCAATTTTTTATTTTTACTTACCCCGCATTTAAGAATTAGTGACACAAGTCAGAGACCTGAATGCTTACTTATATACTCAGCATCTTTATGATGTCCGCTCCTCCATTACGCGTTCTAAGTAACCGCGACTTGCAACTGCATTTACATAACAAGTATATTATTACGTTTTGCAGGAGACAAACAATGCTTTGGACAAAGATGGTAAAGTAAATGCATCCCTAATAGAATCGATTCGTATGGGCACAACAGTAGCTACAAACGCTTTATTGGAGCGTAAGGGTGCTAAAGTGGCGCTAGTGATTAATAAGGGCTTTAAAGATTTGCTGTTCATTGGTAATCAGGCACGGCCACATATATTCCAGTTGGTAAGTCATTTCTACTAAAGATTATGACCTCTTAATATAATAATGAAGGGAAATAATGTGAGGATCCCTGCTTGTGGTAGAAGGTACACAGAGGATTAATTTATGAAATCTGAAATAAAACTTAATATTGACAAAGTTAATAAAGAATGCTTTGGAAATGAGAATATTTTTTTTTGGATCTAAATTGCGTCATCATTATCATCATCATGCCGGTGTTTTTCTGGTCCAATCTTCTCTCTTCTGTGTAGACCTTTAATGGAGTAATAGACCTTCCTTCTTTTTCCACTCTTGGTGATCTTGTGCCTGACTCATCCAGTCCTGACCTTACCAGACCTGACCAGTGTCTGTCGTCCATTCTCACAATCTGCCCCTATTTGTTTTTTTTCAAACAAATTTTTCAGCCATGATCATAGGACATGTAAGGAGACCGAAACGTGGGTTTACTGTTATTATTTAAATCCGAAAAAGTGGTTTCATTTCCAAAACATTCTTTATTAACTTGTCAATATTAAATGTTATTTCTCATACGTAGTAACCGCGAAAACTTAACAAAAATAATAACTCGACCACCTTAGTGACACTATTATAGGATTAATTTAGAAATGTTAAATTCCGGCTAGTTAATTGACTAATAAAATCATTACCATCGAAATCATAAATACTATCCAGTTCTAAGGTTGTCTCGATTGCTACAGATTGAAAAGAAAAAACCAAGGCTTAGGGCCCTTTACAGCTATTTTAACTATCTTTCAGGATATTAAACGCCCCGGTGTTCTATACACAGAAGTTATAGAAGTAGACTGCCGTGTCATACCAGCCTTAGAAGATAAATGCCAAATGAACAAACCTGCACATTGGAAGCAGGTTTACGGCACTACCAACGAGAAAATGCTGATAACGAAAGAAGTAGACATAGAAGCTGTCAGGAATGATTTAAAACGCTTAAAAGAAAAAGGGATAGACAGTATTGCTGTTGTTCTTGCTCACAGTTATACGTATCATGAACATGAGTTGCAGATTGGGAAGATTGCTTGTGATTTGGGTAAGTTTTTTGAATTTATTTTATAGTAATATTCATGGTGTTGTTACTACCATAATATCCTTATATTTTTTGTGAAAATACTCCACCAGTTTGTTGTTATTATTGTCAAAATTCCTTTGATCCGGCTGGACTCGAACCAGCGACTTCACCTTACCGAGGCTATCGCTCCCACAACTAAGCTACGGAAGGAATCAACAGGCTTTGCGAATTTCTCTTGTTGCAGACTTATGTATTTGATTTTGACAGCTTTTCTAACCGTAGCCACCAATGGGAAACCTATGAAAGTTTTTGTTTTATAGTTCTTGGAGATTATAAGTTCTGTGGGTGTGGCGTAACGCTGGAAAGAAGATATACGTCAATGACGCGGCGTATTACTGCTGCAGTATCTTTGAGACTATACCAGTCCCCAAATACTTTTGAAAATAAAAAAATGAGCGACATCTCTGTTAGTCTTCTGGTAGCTGTAAAGGTACCTGGCTGAGTCAAGAAACTTTCATAAGTTCTCACAGATGGCGCTACGGCACAAAAAGCCGTTTAAATCCAATACAAATACAATCAAATATAAATATTGAAATTTTGATTTGTTTTAAGGTTTCAATCAAGTATCCCTCTCCCACGCCGTAACCTCGATGGTCCGCATTGCTCCACGTGGTCTCACAGCTTGCGCAGACGCATACCTCACTCCTCACATTAGGGAATACGTCAAGAGCTTCGCCGAGGGATTCACTGACGGACTCAAAGGCACTAACGTTTTATTCATGCAATCTGATGGCGGGTTGACTCCTATGAATATGTGAGTAATTTTATAAACCTTTTTTAACTCATCAGCATAAAGTCCACCGTTGGGCATCTTTTTCTGCAAGTGTCGTTTCTTTTTAAATGTTTTTATGTTCATTTTGAACTATTGGCGTGTGTTTTAAAGGCGAGTCATCAGAGGAGAAGCTGGAAAAACTGTTTTGCTGGATCAAATGGTTTAGGTATTTACTATTAAATAACGGTCTTACAAGAAGTATACGATACACCTAAGGATAACGTGCTAATTCGTTACACGATAAAATGTACTTTAGCCGATTACATAAAATTCCGAAAACAGTCTAAAAAGTCTAATTTTTATATGGAGATATTTCTCTTTGAGTACTGCAGAGAACCTACGAAATTTTGGTTTTCAATCGAAACCCTACAGTTATTATATTCACATTTGTCCCAAAACTTGGAAATTGCCCAGTGGTTTAACGATACGCCGCAGCGCACGCTGCCCCGTCTGTCGCCATCGGGCGCTTGTCAACGTCAGGTGTGTGTCAAACCTTCCCTGCCTATTCTTATTTTAGTCATATTAATTTTAAGCGCGCTGATTGCGGGTCGCGAGTGGCGACTCCCTCATGCCTCACCTCCTAAAATGTAGAATCACATTCGTATACGTCGCCACGATATCCTTCTATACCCAGATTTTTTCTGTCCTACAGGACAGACTTCTGTCTTCTGAAATGAACAGGTTTCTATCTTCGGAAGTTTACCTGTTAACAGGTTTACCTGTCCATTAGCACTAAATGTACCAATGACACTAAATCGAATTCTGTTGTGCCTCCGGTTAAACTTGCTGATATTCCCTTACAAAAAGTGGAACAGTTTAAATATCTGGGGCATTGGGTCACTGATGATCTAAATGATAATTTAGACATAGAACGGGAATGCATGGCGCTGACTGTGCGGTGTAATATGTTGACACGGAGGTTTGCACGTTGTAGTAACCAGGTTAAGGTTTTGATTTTCAAAGCATATTGCCAGTCCCTCTACACGTGTAGCCTGTGGGTCAACTTTACGCAGCGTGCATACGGCGCACTGCGCGTCCAGTGTAATAATGCTTTTAGGGTACTATTTAAGTTGCCGCGTTACTGTAGTGCCTCCACAATTTTTGCTGAGGCTCGTCCGTACGAATGGCATCCTTAACACAGATATGGGACTCTACGATGGTAAGGCGCTGGGTGCAGCTGCACAGGGCACCAAGCCAGTAGCTGCACCTCGAGCCTTACTACGGGGGAATCTCATTTATAAATATTAAAATGTACTTTCCGAGCTGTTACTAACACTAATTTTTAACTTATTTTGTTACTAACGCATGCATTTAAAGTCCGAAATAAATGATGATGATTATTATTATTATTATTATTAGACATTCCGCTTTTTTTTATTACACCAAGTGACGGAACTAAGAAGTCGTATGCCTGATGGTAAACTATACGCCTGTCGGTGTCGGTTTATTACATTATATCTGATCCATTTATTACCTACATGCAAATAATGTGACGTAATGTTTACAGCTTTAACGGATCTCGAGCGATCCTATCAGGACCGGCAGGGGGCGTGGTGGGGTACGCGATGACGTCATATCAGAAGGAAACAAATTTACCTGTCATTGGTGAGTCGTATTTGTATCGAGTTTTTTCTTAGTGTTCAATTCTTTGGAGCCAATTTTCTACAATACCGGCCGAAATGTTGGCAATTTCGCGTTTAATATTGTTCCATTTGACGTTGTTAACTTGTTGGCATAAACCAACGGTCTTAATGAAACCCCATAAAAAGTAATCCGATGGCGTTCGATAGAATGATCGAGGTGGCCATTCGACTGGACCATTTCGCCAGATTACACGATTATCGAACTTCCTATGACCAGCCGTGTGACCGCCGCAAATGTGCTAGCGGTGGTCATATGAACGAGATCGAATTGCATTTTTAAATGTAACATATGTACTGCACGTGGATACATTTAATCTCTATATCTCAATTATTCATTGAAATACATAATTGTTATGTCCTTATTGGAAACTCCTATAGTTATTATTTGACATACGCGCTTGATGGTGTCAACAGACTTGGTGACACGGAACCGTTTTATGTCCATGTAATAAAAGCAAAAGTTGTCTTCTCGAGTCTCATCGTCTTTTGTTCAAAAAAATCGGTCTAATTTTGAATTTCTGTCAGTCTAGTCAGTCTAACTTTGTGGCAAGTCCGTACGATAATTCCTCGTGGAGGCTTGGCGAGAAAAATATAATATGATACAAACACTCAAAACACACAAGAACAAAATACTCAATCAAACGACAGTGTACCAGAATTTCTAGATAGCAACCTATTCTTTAATAATAATAATAACAATTTGTGCCAGACGACCACACCAAATGCCTCAAACTAGGGAATCCCTTTTACTATGTGTACCAGAGCAACGGAATTCTGGGACACTTACCACAACACCCAGACTAGAACCAATTTAGAAAAGTTTATTTCCCAAATTAGTCCTACCGGGAATCTCCAACCTCCGCATCCAACACCCAATATGCGCGGTTTACGCTAGGCCACCGAGGTCGTCATCATTGTTATTATATTCGAAACTTTGGGGTAACATGATAGACGTAAAAATGATAATAGGCTATGAAATATTTTATTGTTTTTAACCGACTTCAAAAAAGGAACGTGAACCGATTTTGATAATTCTTTTGTTAGAAAGGCGGTACTTCAGTATTGGTCCCATTTAAATTTAAAGGAAATATTCCACCTCTAAGGGTGGCAAACTAGAGAATGAAATTTGAAAACGGAATTTATTGCGACATTTAATTTGAAATTTACCATGTGCTTTTCGGTGAAGCAAAACATTGAATAGAATAGAATAGACATTTATTGCAACGCCACAACACAGATACAAAAAAAAATGAAAACAAGACAAAATAAAAGGAATTAATAAACAAAATAAAAAATACAAAAAACGAAATATAACGACTATAACTGGGTGACGAAATACTTAAGATTTCTCATAGATGGCGCTACGGCTAAAAAGCCGTTGAAAAAACCAAATACAATGACACCACAACATACACATAGAAAAATTCGTGAAGTCCGCTGGTTCGTTCCGTGGCTTAGTTGGTATAGCGTCTGGCACGGTATGCTAGAAGACTCGGTTCGAATCCGGCCGGATCGAAGAAATTTTTCTGTGTGTTCGATCTTTGTGTTAATAATTATAATTAGGGCGTCGAAACCCGTGATTTCGGGTCATAGTATAGTCAAAACCCGGGTAGACCGGGTTTTTTCGAGCTTTTCGATCTTTTTGTTATATTAAAAAAATAGGAAACTGTGTTCCTATACTAATTTTCTACAAAGTATTTGGAGAGGAAGGATTATCATAAATGAAACAGGACTTTTCAAATAACAAGACATTTTATAAAGTCTCAAAGAAATCGTCCAATACCGTTGTTTGGTATGGAAGAAACGTAGCAATTACGCTTCTTTACACGTATCTAAGCGTATTTATCTAAGCGTTTTTTTATTACTTTTATTATTGTATTCGAAGTGGTTTATACATAATAAATAACAAAAAAAAATTAAGTTAAATACTCGGTTTTTAAAATCAAACCCGGGTTTTTTTGTAATCATCAGAACTGGGAAAACCCGGGTTTTCCCGGACCGGGTAAACTCGGGCTCAATGCCCTGGTTATATATATCGACTACAAATTCTACTGTCATTAGTGCCGTTGTGGCGTACGCAAAAGGACTTCATTCAGCTTATGCCACAGCCATAATTACACAGTGGCGCTGGTTTTCAAAGAGCCCTAAACTGAACCATTGTGAGGAAACCTGCACACATTTGCAATGCAATTTAAAGATATGTGTGAAGTTCGCAAACCGCATTAAGCCTGCGTAGGAACTACAGCCCCATTTTGAGATGAGGCTTGCGACCAGCCACATAACTGCTGGGACTTATAACAACTATTATGTAAATGTTTGTAGGTTTTGATATGGGTGGCACTTCAACCGACGTGTCCCGCTACGCTGGGACACTGGAGCATGTGCATGAAGCCACCACGGCTGGTGTTACTATACAAGCACCGCAGTTGGGTAAGTAAATAAGTAACCTTGCAACGTTGGTAAAACTTCGGCATTTTGGACTTTGTGGACTAAAATTTCCAACTTATTTTCCTGCTTCTTTTTTTCAACCTTGTTGATCTTTCTTTTCTGATTTTCCGTCATGTTACTATCCACTCCGTCCCGTCATATTATTCTTCTTTAATTCCTTCATTTCAGCCTTCTTTCTTTCCTTTCTACTTTTATTAAGTGTACTTGTTCTTGGTGTAACGTTAGAGTAGAAATCTATATGATTTTGATATTGACTAACTCACATAACCTGTTATTTATTACTAAATAATTTGAATCACTGGTCGATATAAATTGCATCAAGAAAACCAGCTATTACAACACTATTAGTATGGTTTAAGATATTTATTTCTCAAAGGAATACAAATTCACTTAGCGAGAAATATTTCTACTAAAAAATAAAATATTCAATTGAAGGTATATATAGATATAATTTCGTGTTCTAAGAAAAAACAAAAGCAAGGCCCTAACCAAGTATTGTACATCAATTGCGATGGTGAAATTTTAATAGCAGTAGCAACTCATAGACATAAAAACATCAAAACTTCAGGAGAAATTCCTCACGATGTGGAATTATTATTTCTTTTTGAATAATTGAAATGCTTGTATTTCCTTTAATATTTTTTGGTAATTTGTTATATATTTGAGTAACCTTAATAATACACACATCAAAAGTGTCTAGGGATCAAGTACGTTTATGAGTATTGCTGCAATTAGGGTTAATTATATTAACTTTTTTGTATCGCTATTGATACTTTTTAGTGAGTTTTAACATTTAAATAAGGAATATTGTTTAAAATTCGATAATAAGAAGAAAATCGATTGTCGATGTGGTTTTGTATAAAAATGAGTTATAGCGTTTTGACAAAATCATTACAGTATCTGCATCGGAACCGAAACAATTTACATTATTATGGAGAGACGACATCATTTAACCCGAGAAGTGATGATGCGAGCTGTCGGAATGTTGGAAGCTGGTTCCAGGCAACGTGCTGTGGCTTTCACTCTTAACACTACACAGAGCGTCATAAGTCGCCTCTGGCCGCGCTATCGCATGACGGGCAGCGTGGCCGAGCGACATGGAGGACGATCTCGTATCACGACTCGCAGACAGGACCGGTATATCCAAAATACTGCTCGACGGAATCGTACCATGACCGCCATGATGTTGGTTACGAGGCTCCACAGCTCCTCAGGCTTGCTAATAAGCGATCAAACAATCCGAAATCGTTTACGTGAAGTGGGTCTGCGATCCCGAAGGCCGCTCAGAGTTCCACCTATTGCACCCTGCAATCGCAGGACCCGTTTACGATGGGCTCGCGAACACAGAAACTGGGAGGAAGAAGACTGGCGCTATGTGTGCTTTTCGGATGAATCCCGCTTCGGTATGAGACCGGATACAAGACGTACTCGAGTTTGGAGAACATCTGGACGTCATGAACGAGATATTGTCAGGAAGTTCATCCATATGGTGGGGGAACAATAATGATATGGGCCGGTATTTGGATCGGCGGAAGAACCGATCTCATTTGGATCAGGGGTAACCTCAATGCTCAAGTTTACGCAGAGAGGATTGTTTCAGATGTTATCATCCCTTTGCGAGGCCAGTTGGGTGATTCATTTCAACTAATGCATGACAACACACGTCCACACACGGCTAGAGTCGTAACACGCATTCTTGCCGAAGCTCGTATCAACGTTCTGCCGTGGCCTGCTCAATCGCCAGACCTCAATCCAATTGAGCATGCATGGGATATGCTTCAAAGAAGAGCTGTGCCGAGTATGCATACCGTACATACTCTACAACAATATTTTGACTTGTTACAAAACACATGGGCGGCCATTCCTCAAAGTGATTTTGATGAACTCATCTTAAGCATGCCAAATCGCTGTAATTGTGTGATTCGTGTTAATGGTGGAAATACAGATTATTAATTTTCTTATCTTTACAATAAAAATGAGCTAAATCATCATTTTCGCCATTTTTTTGTCATTTAATTGACGCCGTTAATTTGAGTTTTTTCCCACAATTTGCAAAAACATCAATTTTAGTTTATTTTTTATTAAATATAGGGGTAAGCGGTTAAATAAAACATAAGCATTAAAGTAAGAAGTCGTCCTGGAAGACTGGATTTGGTAAATATTGCTTAAATAATTTTTATTTCAAAAATATTCACTTGATCCCTAGACACTTTTGATGTGTGTAGTTACAAAGATCGAACAACATAATGAAAAATTCGTTAGATCTGACTGGACTCTAACTAGCGTCTGTTGCTACACAGGGACAGGACTAATAAATCGTGCGTTTGTTGGTAAGCGACACACCTGTCCCTATGGACACTGCTGTCAGTTTCAATGCCACAGAGCTCTCTGGTGAAATTACTAGTACATGGGACTTGTCAACTTATGTCTCAGGTTGACGGGTGCACTGGCAGTGCCCCTCAGATCTTTGCGATTTAAAGCTCTCAGCGGCACTGCAACTGTTATGGACAGGCGTGTACCATCAGGATCACGACTTGTTCGTACCGTCACTTGACATTATAAAAAATGCTTTAAATCACAAAGACCTGAGGGGCACTGCCACTGCATCCGTTACCTCGAGACATAAGTTAGCTTATCAACTTATGTCTCAGGGTAATGGGTGCAGTGGTAGTGCACCTCCAATCTTTGTGATTAAAAGCTCTAGGTGTGACTGCAAGTGTTATGGACAGGCGTGTCGCTTACCATGAGGCGCACGATACTTGATATCATAAAAAAGGTGGCAGCATTTACCCGGACGAACTTTTTCTTTGTACTGCTACTAAAGTATTTTGCGATTTTTAAACACTATTGCAATGCTTCAGATATAAACACAGTCGCCGCCGGCGGCGGTTCCATGCTGATGTTCCGCTCAGGGCTGTTCGTGGCTGGACCGCAGTCCGCCGGGGCGGATCCCGGACCCGCCTGTTATAGGAAAGGAGGACCTCTCACCGTGACTGATGCTAATTTGTTGCTAGGTAAGAAACGGAAGAAAATACTAAGTTATATTTAAAATAAGTTCTTATACATAAGTTTAAAATACAAATCATAGATTTAGTTTAGGCTCCAGCTTTCCACAAATGTAATTTGTTTTGAAATTGTCACCTTAGATTTAATATCTCTTTTTAAGTAATATTTGTGGAAGGAGAAATAAACGATTTTTATTTTATTTTTTTATTTAAAAAAAAATGTATTTATTTCGGAATATTTATCCATAGAGGTTAGTAACAAAGCACTTAAAAATAGAGTTGGTATTACAAATAACAATTCTTTTTAAAACTAATATGCAAACGGGATATGATTACATATCCATGAACAATTTTTAATGATTTTATTTTGAAATGTTGCGAATGCGAATAATGCGAATGAAGCTTAATAACGCACACACTCAACGTAGCCCCGCACTAGGGAGACCCTGTGTCGCGTGTGCCATGGACATACACATAAACAACCACAAATTACACCCAAACTCACACAGACAGAAAATGGAGACTGCCTTACGACAATATTTTGTAGGTCCCAGGATTGGGGAACCTTTTCAGGATTGGGAAAATCACTTAAGATCATTAAAAATTGACGTAATGGAGGACAGGCAGTTACACTATATTTATCTTAACTTTGCGACACACAGTGGGGCGGATCTGCCTTATTGCGGACATTGGATTGTTTTCACGATATCTCTCTAAAAAATGCCAATCGAGAGATCCTATTGTCCTAGCGCCTATTCACTACTTATATTGCACATTTTCTGACGCGTATAAAAAAAATCCAAATGTCCTCAATATCGCACATCCGACCCACTGTGCGTCGCAAAGTTAAGATAAATATAGTGTACCTACCTGGCCCCAATTACGTCAGTTTTTTAATGTTCTTAAGTGATTTCCCCAATCCCGAAAAGGTCCTGGGACCTAAAAAATTTTGTCGTAAGGCAGTCTCCATTTTCTGTCTACGTGAGGTGAAAAAACTCTACCTATTCCGATCCCTGCTTATGAAGGTGTACTTGTACTTCCAGGTCGTTTACTTCCCGAATATTTTCCTAAAATCTTCGGACCAACGGAAAATGAGCCATTGGACAGAGAGGCTACTGTGAAAGAATTCCAGAAGATCACTGGTGACATCAACGCCTTCTTGAGACAGGGTGGCGGGAAAGAGGTATGAATTTAGCTGTTACATTTATTTGTACTGTCGCGTGCATTAATTAGCAGCAAGTAACGATATTGATATTTTGAAATGTAATATTGTCCTCGGTTGCTTATTGGTTAGCACTATAGGCGGTTGGTGTGAATATCGCGAGTTTGATTCTTCGTAAGGCTATGGTTCCTAAGACAGTTTCCTTGTATCTTCTAGGGTTTCGCATTTCCTCATACCGTCCCATTTAAAGAAAACACTGTATAATAAAACTTAAATATACAAAGCATTTACCCTGTAAAGGGGCATGTATGTCATGTATGTATGTTTGTTTTGTAACCAATTGTCGGAAATAGGTGTTTCACATATACAAATACATGTATAGATATAGCTAACAAGGAGCGTCATGAAGTTATTAAAACCACCAAATATTAATTAATTACTGTTTCGAATTCGAATTACGGATGAATTTTACTGCATCGTCGAACAAAACTATTGACCTAGGAAGTCAAAGTTGGATTTTAAAGTAATTCTAATGGTGCCATGTAAAAAAATGCAGTAGTTAACTTAACTTTATTAACTTACCAAAATAGAGAATAAATAAAAAGTAACGATGATGGTCACTCTCCGCCCCTCCATAGCTTTAGATATCGCATATTGACGGTCACATTGAACTTAAGAAAAATAATCATTTAAAATTTACGAGGGGAATTTTAGTTTGCATGAGAATCGTTGCAATCGCGCTCTAAAATTATTTTAATTAAATTCAAACACACAGTGTAACAGATGTTCATAAATTCGAACTACTAGCAGAAATGTCGTATTCGAAAAGAAAAATGTTCGCTCTGGATTATTTTAATACTTTTTTAAAAAGGACTGCTGGACGCTTAAGCTAGACGAAAAAGTGCAATTTTTGACGGCCTTGTCCATGTATGGCTATTTGTCTTCATAAAGAGAATAAAGAGAGACTAACATACATAGTAATATAATAAAACACTATGACTAATTATTATTTACACGTATTGTCTGCGACGTGTGACGCAACGTGGGTGTCCGGTAGCCGGTCTCGGAAACGTCCGTACATGACACCTTTCGGCCAAAACCAATCCTTCGTGAAGGGCGACAGATGTTGAGCTGGTACTCTCACCACAAATGAATTAAAATTCACATTGTGGCGGGACCCCTACTGCGAAAATCCGAAAAATGCGAAATTCAAAAAAGTATATATTTGGTGGTTTTAACAACTCTATATCGCTCCTTGTAGCTATATCTATACATGTATCTATAGATGTGGAATATCTTTTTCCGACCATTGCTTATAACCAATGATTTACGGTACATAAAAACTTTTAGTTCCAGATGACTATGGAAGAGGTAGCAATGGGCTTTATAAACGTCGCCAACGAGGCTATGTGCAGACCTATTAGGTAAAAAATAAGTTTTTTATTTGTCTACATTTTTACAATTCAATTGAATTGTGTCTATTTAGGTGCTATTAATAAAATTATGTAAACAAAAAAATCTACTTCGGCCAAGAGGAAAGGCGACCAAATAAAGAGACGCATAATGCAAATGTAGCTTCATATTTGACATTGTCTTTTTATTTATTCGAGTGTTATTTAAATGACGTAATTGTTTCGCACGGATGTTGGATGGAGAACGACAGTAGACCCCCTGGTCTTTGTTGCGCCGCTGTGTTTAAATTAATAAGTATTATTTTTGTAAAATTTTAAATTAACAAATAAATAATAAGCTAAAGTACTGTAATTATTAATAAGCTATTCATAAAGTATTGTAGCTATTAATAAAGTCCTGTAAACATTAATAGGCTAAAGTACTCTAATAATTAATAAGCTATTCATAAAGATTGTAGCTATTAATACGCTATTAATAAGTAACTGTAACTATTAATAAACATTAATAGAATTGGACGACTTTAGTAACTAAAATCAGATTCTTGTCCTTTGTTCAAGAGAAAACGCGGTAGAACAAAAAATGTTCTTCCTAATGATTGATTAAAACCAACACTGTAGAGACAGTGGACTCTAAATCGACGAGATAAGGTTCTCTGTTACCTGCTACATGACATTTCATTGTATATACGACAGTCGCTTCTAGCCTGTTCCCATATAACGATTGTCATACCTAGCTGTTCCCACAGGATCGTGACGACAATTTATCGGTTCACGGCACCCGCCTTGTCGTTTGCACGACAGAATCGTTTGAATCACGTTGTAATACTTGACATACATAATTAGAGGTGAATGAGAAAATAATATTGTAAGTGTTTATTATAACGACAAGTGTGATATAATATTTTAAAATGTTGCACTGCACAAATTTTGTGACTGTGGCGATGTGGCAGGGCGCTGACGACGGCGCGTGGGCACGACGCGTCTCGCCACGCGCTGGCGTGCTTCGGCGGCGCGGGGGGGCAGCACGCATGCGCAGTGGCGCGCCAGCTGGGCATTTCCACTGTGCTCATTCATAAGTATGCCGGTGAGTATCTTTTTCTTAATCATCATCTCTTCTTATTTAAGAGCTAGGCTCTTGTTGCGGGGGAGTCGCCAACCCTTTTTAGTAGCAGCAGAGCTCCTTGTGAAAGAGTTCGTCCAGGGAAGTACTACCACCTTACCTATTTCTGTCACCAAGCGATAATGTGTGCTTTATTGCGTTCCGATTTTGAATGGTAAGGGTGCTGGTGAAATTATAGGCACATGGGCCTTGTCAACGTACGTCTCAGGGTGACGGGCGCACTGGCAGTGGCCTTACGATCTTTGCGATTTAAAGCTCGTGAGTGGCACTGCAACTGTTATGGATAGGTGTGTCCTATTCTTACACCAATCATCATCATCAATATTCCAATATACTTCCCACTGCTGGGCAGGGATCTTAGGGATATATTCTGCAAAACTTATCGTGTCAATCGTAGGTATCCTGTCCGCGTATGGCATGGCACTGGCCCACATTGTCCACGAGGCACAAGAGCCTTGCGCGTCGAAGTACTGCCCATCGCAGTTCGCGCAGCTCGACATGCAGCTCGACATACTCGGCGCTGTATGCAGGGACAAGCTTAGGGCGCAGGTAAATATTATCCAGATTGAAAAGGTCATAAGCATTTAGAGTTGAGAAAATAAAGCAAAAACACGATTTTGCTGTACATATTGGACACTAACAACAACTTGTGCGTAATTTAATTTGAAAAGAGAAGTTTCGTAACCCATAGAAAATTAACCCAGTCCCGGCACAACTACTGCACCGGGACTGGGTTAATTATCTTTTGTTATTTCTGTTTTCTTCATTTTATTATATTATTCCTACCTTGATTGATCAAATTATACTTCCTTATAATAGCTTTTGAAGAATAGAAAACAAAAAACTGTTGTAAGTTTTGTTTATACATAACACACGTTACCAAACTCTATGTGCCTTTGCAAAGACAAAAGTCAATATTGACATGTTAGCCACTGATTTCGAAAGCTATATGAATTTATTTACCTAATATAAGCAAAATTCTGAGATAGGTTTTGTTTTGAGATTGTTTTGAGACGGGTCATATTTGACCCGTCTCCTTTGCCATGAGTTTTTCCGTGAAGGAAAACATCGTGTTCACAACCCTCGGAAAACGTGTGAAATCCCAACCCGCATTGGGCCATCGTGGCAGATTACAGCCTAAACCCTCTCCTGAGAGGAGACCCCAGCCCGCAAGTAGGACGTGTAAATGGGGTGATAACGATGATGAACGCTTATTTTATAGCTACTAGGCTTATATCGCATTGTCAATACAATAGTGTATTAACTCGTAAAGTGCATATTCTCAGAATCGACAAAAACAAAATATTTGCTTCCCGTGAAAGATCTATGTAAATTTATGTATAGGTTATTTCCTACTTGCCAAATATACATATTTAAAAATAAAAGAGAAAAATAATTTAATATTTTTGAATTAGGAATATTTTGACCAGAACTAGCTCACATAAAGCGTGTCTCATTTTGAGTTAAGTAGATATCTTTTAGTTGTTTTTTACAATATTCTAACGACGGTTTTTGACGTGTAGAGAATCAAATTTTATGTTCAACAATGGTATCATCTTGAATTTCACCAATTTTTAGTTATAACACTATTGTAATAGCAGTGGAAAAAGTCATGGACTGTTTTATTCAGAACCAGCTCACAAAAAGTTTTTCTCGCTTTGAGTTAAGTAGTTATCTTTTATTTGATTTTCACTATATTCTAACGAAATTAAAATTTGACGTTTCGGAATAATATAATCTTGAATTTTCCCATATTTCGAGTTACAACACTGTTGTAATAGCAGTGCGATATATTTTCTTCTGTATAGAACATAGCCTTTTTCAACTCTTGCAGGGTATCCCTGACTCCCAAATCGTGCTGGAACCCTACCTGCATCTGCGGTACGCAGGCACTGACTGCGCGCTGATGGTGGCGCCTGCGACTGGCGCTGGCCACTCACCCACTTCTTGTCGGCACGGCGATTTTTATTCTGCTTTTGTTAACAGGTAAGTTTCATTTCTAAATCCATTTATTCCTTGGTGATGAGGTTCAATGAATATATATAATATAATATATATAATATATATTTGGAATAATTGTGGTATGGATGAATGAATGAAATATTCTTTATTGCACATAAAATTACAATTAAAATACTATTGTATACTACTACTATTATACTTAAGCTATTGTATTCAATAGCTTAAGTATAATAGTAGTAGTAAGTTAATGTGCAACAGGCAGCCTTATTGCTATGTAGCAATTTCTTCCAGGCAACCTTAGCATAGACATTTCGGATATGCAAAAAGGGGTGCAACCAAAGAATATCATCATGAGTACACTACATAATAAGTAATAATAAAAAATATATCATATGCGTAGATAGATATACATACTAATAATAGTAATATTAAATAGTGATATGTTGTTGTGCAAAGTTTTCAAAGCTTTTGTTTTTAATTTTATTCTTTCAGATCCTATGATACTTCATAATTTATGAATTCACAAAAGAAATGCATTAGAGCAATTTGTGGAATCCCCCGAATGCAAGTTCGGAGCTATAGTCTGTTGCCACTACCATCATTATACAGTGTTTTTTTTAATGGGACAGTATTGAAAGAAAGAAAGAAAAGAAAGAAAATGATATTTATTTGCTCTCTACTAGTAATACAAAGTAAATCTTAATATTAAACATTGCGATCCAAAATGGTCACCACTCAGCATTTGTCGGGTTGTGCATGCAAAACAACCCAACGCTGATATTCTGTGGTGGCTGAGGAACGGAGTGGACGCCACCGACAACGAATCAACAATTTAAAATAGCGAAATAAAACACTTTACAGAGAAAAATATTTATATCTAAATACTTAATATTTATATAACCTATAATGTAAAATTTTGCATGATAAAATAATTAATCGTGTACATATATGACTATATTATAGTAAATTTGAAAATTTATAATTCAAATCTATGATGTAAAATCATTGACTTACAAATAAATGGACGACGGGTCTAATACAAAAACCACGAAAAAAATGTCCCAAGTCAACCTATTTAAAACGTAGTGACATATAAAGGAATATGAAAAAGCTAAAACGTTGAAATTAAATTGTAATGTCATCGCAGTACTGTCTAATTTTGCTTGCTTCGCTGTCAGTCGAACAAACGAAGACTTTAACGAGATTTTAACGCCCTATAAGTTCGGACACTTTTTAGCGCGGACCCGACGTCCATATAATTGTAAGTCAATGTGTAAAATAAATAAAATCGATATCTAATTCTCTCGTATCTTAATCTTTAAATTAACTTGTATAAATTAAATTGAATATAATGATTTATAAAACGTGACTTCCGAAACTAACTGCTATTTATCACATATTTTTTTGCCTATTTAATAAATACAGTTTGAATGTCCGTTTGAACGTGCTAATTGTGGTATTGGGAAATCTGAAACCATAGAAGATACAAGGATTCTGCCCTAGGAACCATTTAATCTTTTTTTGTGGAAACAAAAAAGTTAAATGTTTCATTGACATGATGTTGAAACATCCTGACATTCTATTATTTTTTGTGAAATCACTCCATTACTTTGTTATAATTATTAATACAAAGATCGATCATTTAGAAAACAATCCTTCGATCTGGCCGGATTCGAACCGACGTTTTCTAGCAAACCGTGCCAGACGCTATACCAGCAACGGAACGAACCAGCGGACCTAACGAATTTCTCTACGTGCTTGTAGCCGGATCTTTGTTCTTGTTTTAACGACTTTTTAGCCGTAGCGCCATCTGTGAGAAATCTATGAAAGTAGTTGACATCTTATATACAAAGGGACACCGTAATATTACGCGTAGTGGGTTAGGATAAATAACAATACTGCGACCAATCATAATATTAACATTTTTAACTTAAATGCCTTATTATAGATACCAAAACGAGTTCGGTTTCACGCTAGCCGACCGTGACGTCATCGTTGATGATGTAAGAGTACGGGGTGTGGGGCTCAGTCACGTGCCTGAAGAAATCGCACCGCCAAGCGGCAAAGGGATTCCGCCGGTTGCTGAAAAGGTATAAATAATAATAATATGTTACTAGATAATTACCACAATTACCTCGTCTCAAACTAGTGGATTCCCTGTCCTGATAAGTGTCAAGGCAGCTGTTATTTCTGAAATGAGTACAACTATAAAACTGTGAACGGCACTACAACTTTTATGGACAGGCGTGTCACTTAGCACTTATTTGTTGGTCTCGTCAATTGAATTTTATTGACGGAAAATTATTATTATTAATGAAGTAAATAATTAAGAATTAAACTGAACTTACATTACAAAATTACTATTAAATTAAATTACTATTTTACTAAATTGTTACTAAATTTTACTAAATTTTTACTAAATTTTACTAAATTAAAATTAAATTACTATTCACGGCTAACGTGCCAGACGCACTACACCGCCAGGGAAGCCGCAGCGTAGCAAGAAGTGCATTGTTGTACTGAACTCTTGAGCCTACCAATAGTTCGCTTAGTATAATGGTACCACAACTGACTAGAGTAGAACGCGTGACAGTAAGCCCTAAACAGAGTTATTTTTATTTGAACTAAGCAATGAGCGAATCGACGCGCCATCATGTTCACTCTTCGTGTAAATCTATGTCCTCTGTTGCTCTAAATTTTGCGGTAAGTATATGCCCTGGGTATTTAAAAGCTCGATATATTACTTAGTACTACGGTGCCATTCAAAAGTGACTGGCGGGTTGTTGTCCGGTCCTCTGCCATACTTAAACCCTGCCTGCTACCTCCGCCACCAATGAGGAGATTTGGTAGTGGACCTATCTGAAAAATAAGAAGGGTAATGTACGTACACCCGGGGCGGCTCACCCGGGGCGGCTCACCCGAAGCACTAGGCCGTGTCCCGTCGGGAACTGGATGAAGTCAAGTGTCAGACGTCTATGACAATCCTGTACACTGGCTGATCTGGGGTCGGAACCTGAGCACGTAAGGTTCCTCCTGCGCGCAAAGGTTATAGTGCCCTTCTCGTATACCCTAAGGGTCAGTAGGGAGGGTAGAGAAGATATGGGGTTGTTCTTATGTGAAACTATAGTCTGTCTTTTTAGAAGATGGAGTAAAATGACATTTGTAGGGTTGCCAGTATTCACAAAATTTTAAATAGTTATGTAGTTGTTGCCGATAGTTTTATCGATGTCTAGTCAGCTAATAGTAGCTGTAAAGTTACCTGGCTCAGTGAAGAAATAGATCTCTCACAGATGGCGTTATGGCAAAAAATGTCGATGATAACCAAAAACAAACATCTGTAACAAGTACATAGAAAAATCCGCAAGGTCTGATGGTTCATTCCGTGGTTTAGTTGTCAGAGCGTTTAGCACCGATTGCGGGAAGGCGCTGGGTCGAATCCCGCCGGATCTAAGGATTTTTCTTAGTGTTTCGATCTTAGTATTTTTAATTAAATCCATATTTGTTAATAAATCGATAGATTGCTAACTCACACAAACTATAATCATTCAAATGCTCTTTTGTTACACGTAAGTAAGCCTATTTTCAAAAAGAGACCGATATGCCCAACGGTGTTTATTTACGTATGAGCGACTTGTGAGACGTAATCGCACCCATCATGTCAGCTCACCATTCCAGTAGCAGTTGGATCGCTAGCCGGCGATCGAACAATCATCCCAGCAGGTGGAAGTACTGGAGTGCCACCCATAGGCCATGTGACTCGATACAAAACAATCTCCTTTTAGAACTTAAATGGTAATTTAGTGAACTCTTCGATAGCGCGGTCTATTTTGATCCCAACGCCAACTAACGGCAAGGCGAGGTTACTAATATCTGTTGAGTTGTGGTGTTAAATAACTTTTCTTTCTTTTTTTTTTAGACCATGAAGGTATTCTTCGAAGGTGGATATCGCGACACGTCTATTTATCTCTTGGAGAATCTCAAGCCGGAGCAGATCGTACCAGGCCCCGCTATAATCATGGACAGTCTGTCTACGATACTTATTGAACCAGGTACCTTATCTTATGATTACTTATTATAACTGCCACGGAAATATGGCAGTGAATACTAGTCCGAGAATTACCGTTCTCAACGATTTGAAACAACGATTAATTTCAGCATACAATATCGCGTCATAAAACGCAGCTGTGAGTTGTATAAAATATCACTAAACCATGTATCTTAAAGGCGGTCATACTGCATTTCAGACTGCCGCGCAGAAATCACAAAATACGGCGACATTCGCATCACTATTGGGTCTGGCCAGCCAAAGAAAGTCACGACTGACCTTGACTCCATTCAACTAAGTATATTCTCTCATCGGTTCATGTCTATTGCGGAACAGATGGGAAGGTAAGTCATCAATGTGGTTGATATCTGGGTAATTTCCAGGTAAGTTTTTTGTACTCAGTTTTGGTGAAAATTTCTTTTATTTAAATATTTATAGAATATCATCATGAAGTATTATTTAATATACGAGTGTGGTAACCTGAAATATTTTTAATATTTGACGATGATATATTCGAGTAATTAAATAAGAAATAATTGTCAACAAAATTGAGTACAAAAAACTTACCTGAAAATTACTGATCTGCAAAGGTTAAAAATTACAGGCACATGGGAGTTTTCAGTGTGACGGGCGCAGTGGCAGTGTCCTTCAGATCTTTTGAAAGAAAGAAGAAGAAAGAAAATACAAATATTTATTTACCACAATGACACCACAAAAGAAAAAAGAAAACTAAACAAAACAGAAGAAAAACAAAACACAATCAAAACATTTAACGTAAAACATAAATAAATAATTACGAAACAAAAACACAAGCAAAACAAAAAAAAGTTAGATGTAACAAATCACACAAACAGTAGAGATGAACGTTTTTCGATGTAAAGTTTCGATGTCGCTTACCACCAGGCGCACGACTCATTCGTTCCGTCACTTAATATCAGAAAAAAAACTTGTATTGTTGTTGTCTTTTCAGAGTGCTCCAACGCACTTCAATATCAGTAAACATCAAGGAGCGACTGGATTTCTCGTGTGCGCTGTTCGGCCCTGATGGAGGACTAGTTTCCAACGCGCCTCACATACCTGTACATCTTGGTGCTATGCAGGAGACCGTGCAATATCAGGTCAGAATTGTTATGGCTCAACCGTTTTCCGACTGTTGGACATCTTGCACCCCTCATGGAAGAATGGTATAAGTGGAATTATGTCGAACAGGTTTATTGCTCCATTAGATACAGAAAAATGTAACCTACATCCTCACTTCAATTGAGTTATATTTTTCTGTATCTAATGGAGCAATAAATATGTTTGACGTTATTCCACTTATGCTATTTATATCCATGAGGGGTGCGATCTGTTTTAAGCTAGACGACTTGGGAACACTATGCACGGTCGCAGTTGGTCCCACACTAGGCAGAGCCTGTCCTGTGGCGACCCTATTACGATTTCATTAAATGTATTTCGACAATAGTATATTATAGTCTGTTTCAATCCATTTTGAACAAAAAGTAAACAAACCTGTTGGGTTAAAATTCTAAAGCAATCACTCAATAAGTCAAATAAGTTTCACGTATATTTCGAAGATTTCGACTTGATATATCATAATTTTTTCCAACAATGTTCATTTGAAAAGCATCGTAAAAACGTATTTGAAAAATTGTAGTCCAAATGTGAGGTTATTATTCGTCTATACTTCTATGACTTGCCTATGGTTGCATACTGCTATTCGAAAAAAAAACATTCGGTTCAATCAATTAAAGTTCGGTAATCGATTATTCGATCGAACATTTCAATCGCAATTGAACGAGTACATTTGAAGGAGGATTTAAATTGAAATTTTAAAAATGCTTATATAGGTTATGTTGCTAGTATGACTCAATTGAAAAAATCGATTTATACTATTAATTAATCGATTTGTAGTTGGCGTTACAATTGGCCACTACTAAACCTTATATGATCGGGTCAGTGATTTGTTTGTTTACTTTCTGTTCAAAATAGAATGAAACGAAGTATACGTTACACGTTGCATTATGATTGTTTAAATATAAACAATTTAAATATCTTTAAATGTATTTAATCTAAAATAAACAAGAGAGGAAAAATAAACAGCAAAGTAGTAGAATATGTTAAGATAAAGTAGGATGAATTAATATAATTCAGACCGATATTCATTATTAAACAAATTGAAATACTTCTATCTAATAATAGTAATTACTACTAAGGTGCGTATATACAAATACACACGAATTTACAATTCGATGTTGAGACTAATAGCCACCTAGCTAGTCAGTCACTACAACTCCAGCTCAACAACTCCCGTCAACTTGAAACAGAGCTTCTGATTCTACATTTTGTATGTATATTTGCGATTTTCCCAATAATAACTTAACCGCTTTAAACATCCTATATTTTACAATCGAAAAAATTAGCTAAGTTTTCTTTGAGTTCCATATGATGTAAAAACTGTGTGACTCAAAATTATAGCAATTTTAAAATCATTATTTTATTTATTATTAAAAATCGACCTCAAAAGTCATTCATCCCCTGGTTTGTCACCCTTACAAGTGGATTATTTTCTTCAAATTTAAATGGGACCACATCTGCTGTACCCTCTTTAAAAAAAAAGAGTCATCAAAATCCGTTCACAAATGTATAAGCGTTATCGCGTAACATACATACAAAAAAAAAACAAAAAAGCACGGTTGAATTGAGAACGTCCTCCTTTTTTTCAAGTCCGTTAATTATACCAATGTTAAAATTATTATTTAATTAGTTTTTGTATGTCTTATATTGCCGACTTGGTTTGTTTTATCATGTGGTGGCTATATTATTATTGAATTGAAGATTTTGCTCGATTCACGCCCATATCAAGAGCACGTCAAGCTTTACACTAAATCCAACTCTATGCCGCTTCCGATAAGAACGGTCCAAAGTATTAAGGTTGATGTGCTCTAGACTGTACATATAACAATTTTCAGATTTTTATTGCGCAATACGGGATGCCATACCCGTGACATTAATGCCTATTCAGTCTGGCCTTGAATATTTGGGTATACACAACGGCAGCCGGCAGTGTGGTACATTCTCTCGTTTTGACGTTTAGGGACCAGTTCTTCATTTGCCTTTTTCTGCTTACAACCTGTTCTGTATTCGACCACTTCTTGATAAGGCTAGTTCTCTTTAAGACCATTTCTGCTTTTGACCACTTCCTTATTTGACTACCTTGGTTACGGTGTGCAAGAAAACGTAAGTCTTACCGTACTCATTAAGTGTAAATAAAGGGGACAGCGCGTACGCAGTCCCCACTACCAAAAATTACGCACCCGAGTTACCCACATTAGGGGTAATCGCAGGGGTCAGCTCTACCGCAGTGCAATGGAAGAGCCTCGCCCTGGGGGAACCGCCTAATTGATCACGGTATCCCCTGTGCCAGGTAAGTATGAATTCTCGTCCCTAGCTGGCGAGGGTCATTCGCCGAGGGAAAATCTTAACACCGCGATTCAGAAAACGCGTCAAACCCTTCAACGCCATCTAGCGGCGTTTTACGAAAACTAAGATATTGTCATAATTTTAACTAATCAGTTCTAATCTTAGAGGATGGAAAAAAATAAAGGAAGTTCTAATATATATATTTAACAAAGTTGAACACTGTCAATGTCAAATTTGTTTGTAAGTTTATGAAAGATATTTTATTGTTATTATTAACAAAAGAATCACAAGTAAAGATCATTTGTATACGAAAGATAACTGTGGTTTCGATAAAGATTTACACAGAAAGAGTAAGCGTCAGCGGTTTGTGCAAATGGGTAGTATATCATATAAACATTTAAAAGAATTTCTCATAAATAAAACTTATTATAATATTAAGGATTTTTCAATGACAAAATATACTTTATTGTGTAATGAATTTTAGATACTTCCGATATCCTTCTCAATTTATCTTATGCATGTATAATTGTAATGATTTATTTAATATAATCAATTTTTTTTATTTTTATTTTATAATGAGTAAGTGCGCTCTTCACATTGCTGTGCCCTTCAGGGTCACATGTACATCTCAAGTCACTTAATATAAGTCTATCAATGCAATAAATAAATAAATCATTGACATAAGGACAGTTCATTCAAATTAAATATCGGTTTTTACTCAGGAAGTACTTCTCATACAAACGATAACTTACTGGGCGGGCCTTTAAAAATTTAATTTTACTCGTCAACAATTGCTTGTTAAAAAAATATGAACATGATGACAAAACATGCGTCTACAAGGTGAAGTTTTATAAAGGGTTTGTGGGAAAAATGTGCTATTGTCAATTGTGTTTTCTCCGTTACACAATTTTGAGTTACGGCTTTTATTACAGATGTTTTATATAGGGGTTTTCGACTTTTATAGCCATAAGCGACTCTCATAACAGATTATGAAGCGACTTGTAACTTAATGTTATGGTAGTAAAACACCATAATATTCAATAAAATCAATATTAGGAAGAAGCGTTCGGAACTTTTTATTCTCAAAATTAATACTAATTCTATAAATCCGCCATAAACAGTAGACTATCTTTTTATTATAATACCAAGTGACGGGACGAACAAGTCGTGCGCCTGATGGAAAGCGACACGCCTGTCCGTAACAGTTGCAGTGCCATTCAGAGCTTTAAATCGCAAAATCTGAGCCCGACACTCTGAGACATAAGTTGACAAGTCCCATGTGCCTGTAATTTCACCAGCACCCTTACCCTTCAAAACCGGAACACAGTAACGGTCTTACACTACTGTTTGACGTTTGAAATCGGTAAGGTGGCAGTACTTCCCAGGACGAACTCTTTCACAAGGCGCGCTACTGCTGCGGTAACTAAGTAATGGCTAAATTTTTTACCTAAAATATAATCACCTGGGCGCACTTGGCGATTACATCCTGTATATTCAAATCCGCACATGCACTTACATATTGAATATGTTACTTTAGATCATAGTTTCCCAATGTGGTTCCTACCCAGCCCCCCAGCGAGCGCTGAAGAGTCTGGGGAGGGCAGTAGTGGCCTCGAAAGCAATTGAGGGGCGTTGATGCAGTCCAAGGGGTGCTACCGCATTTGACAAAAAAACCTTAATTATCTATATAAACTACACTTCAAAACATAATTTCTTTTTCTTGTGATATTTTGTGTTAAGTTTGTGACGGTGTGACCTCCTTACACCGTCATCCCACCTTTTCGTATCGCCTCTCTTAGTATCGTATCGTTTTTCTTCTTCTACTCATATTTTCAAATTTATAATTTTTATTTCTGATTTTATTTCTTTCGACGGTCACTCCCTGGTTGACCGCGACAGCGGACAAAACTACTAATTTATATTATAATATTTGTCTAATTTTTTATTCTTTTCAAGTTAAATCATAATACAATCAATGTAAATCATGTGTCGACCATAATAAGCGAATAACAGTCTTTCCAATATCTGTAATTCAACATAATACAACCCGATAAGGGTTTTATTTTACCCTTTTACTTCTATCATGACGTCGTAAAATAAATTTGTTGACCGGAAGTTTCCTCTTACACTAGTTAGGCTAGGCTAGTTAGGGTTACAACCCTTTCAAGTTAATTTAAAAAATACGTGTTTTCAATTATATTTTGTGATGGGCGTTGATATGAAAGAAAGAAAATAAATTTATTCAGCACAAACACATGTTACAAGTACAATATGATTTTATGCTTAACGTGTATTGCACTGAAAAGGTCCCAACTCAGCAAATACTGCGGCGGAGTCACAGCGCTGGTTTTCAGTGGATCCGTTTTGTAATGGCCGATTTAAAAATAAAAATTGCAAATAAAATTAAAAAGAAAATAAAAAATTGTGGACGCGCGTTAAAATAGGCACAACATATAAATAATTCAATTAGATCAGAAAAACAAGATTGTCACTATGTCTTTATGTATTTTACGTTTCTCTTTGCGTTATATAATGGTTGTACAAGTAAATCTTTTATTACAAATAACTTCTAGAATTAATACCTCTTGTTGGTTCTGACTGAAAACCTGCGCCTTACAGATCTTAGGTATATGCCAGCGCCAGAGTCAGCGCCATTTCACTGCTACCACAAAAATTATTTATTTTTCCTGTTGTATTCAATCTGTATTGCGTCATACTAGTGAATAAAGTGTTTATCTAAAACCCACTAGTCATAACATTAATTTTTTTTGCAGATGAAAGTCCGGGGCGACACTTTGAAACCCGGTGACGTGTTACTATCTAACCACCCCGAGGCTGGAGGGTCACATCTTCCAGACTTGACTGTCATTACGCCAGTTTTCCACAAGTAAGTCGAGAGGGATTCTCTTCTAAGGCTGGGATTTCCAAACGACGTTGCTTAATTTTAAGCAAGAAATTAAATTAAGCTTCCAGTTTACTTCGTAATTTCTCGCTTGAACTTAAGTAAAGTTAAGTCAGGTTTTATAAATCTCAGCCTTAGTGAAAACCACTGCTATAGTATAATAGGACATTGTGTAATGACGATAAATAAGAAATTACTAAAGAAGGTTTATTAGAACTCGAGCTTGTGATGTTTTCCGTGTACATGCAATCTTTTTCATTAAACTTGAGAGGAAATAAATACAATGTTTATTTTCTTATATGAATAAATATGGTTCGCAATTCGAAACACAACAATTATGGATTTTGCAAGTGGTTTTTTTTTGTTAACAAATGGCTAGCTATTTTTTCTTCCATAGTTAATTATAACTCGAACTAAAATGTTGTAAAAACAAAGACGCATACAGCCATGTTGGACCTTAAAAAAAATTGCTAGATTTTTATACAGAAAATAATCAAAATCTATTATAATAAATTTTTAATAATAAGTATTTAAGTAGTATGTGGCTGAATTGCAATTAAATTTCTGTTTAGATAACATTTTAAGCGAATGTTTTAATTTTGCACTTATGTAACCTTCTTTCTTCAACTTGAACCTCATCTATGTAAGGAAGCATGTCGTGCTACAAATTTAAAAAAAAACGTAAAAAAAAAAAGGTCCGAGGGTATTGAGGGTATATTTCGGGCATAGTAGTCAAGTTAGCCACCTGCAATCATACTTTTTAGGAGCAAGTAAAAAAAATGAGCAAGTGTGATGAAAATGTTTTAATTAACTAAAAGTAAACAAACTTCAACTGTCACTTGTTTAACCGGTCAAATTCTAAATTCTATATTTAGTAGTGAATTTCGTACGTCGTATTAGTGCTGTACTCCTTAATTTATTCCTTAATAGAATGGAATGGAATGGAATGGAATAGACATTTATTGCAACGCCACAACACAGATACAAAAGAAATGACAAACAAGGAAAACAAAATTTAAGAAGTAATGATTATTTAATAAACAAAATAAAAACAATACAAAAAATACAAAATTAATAAGACAAATCTCACAAAAAAGAAATTATTATGACTACAAATTTTGTACTGTCATTTGTGTGCTTAGGACGTACGCAAAAGGACTTCATAATTGACTGCAGCGCTGGTTTTCAATAAACCCTGAGCCGAGATGAGTGGCAGACGTGTGTATTCATAATTATGAGTACGTGTTATTCAACATATTACATTTATATTATATATTTAGTACTGTTTTAAATAGGTAGTTCGAAATGTTGTCTATCTACCTGAAAATATTATTCTTTATTCCTTATTCTCATTTATTTGCATACTACATCGAGTATGGCATACCATAACATGATGTACATTAAATTATGAAGCCTGAATAGCGCACAGCAAATAGAAGAGATGACTAGTCATCATAATATGCAATTAATTATATATCTATCAACAGTTTTATATAATTTAATGTTTTTATAAATTTAAACAACTATGTTTACAACAACACATAGAAAAATTCGTGAAGTCCGCTGGTTAACGAACCACGGAACGCCGTGGCTTAGTTGGTATAGCGTCTGGCACGGTAAGCTAGAAGACGTCGTCGGTTCGAATCCGGCCGCATCTCAGTGTTCGTTCTTTGTATTAATAATTATAAAAACTTAGATACCAAGAATTTAATCTTTTAAAAATCTTTTACATTGTAATAGGTTTTTTTTTAAATTTTTTATTTATGAGCAATTTCTTTAAGTTTAAAAAAAAAGTTGTTTGGTTTCCAGTTTTTAAGCTCTCCGGAAGTTTGTTATATATATTTTTTTGACATGGTGTATGGACTAGAGAAATGCATATTTAATGTAGAATATGGTATTACCAATCTCTTTCTATTTCGAAATGCATATTTAGTTTGGAGGTCTTTACGATTTGAATGTAAGGGTTTGAGCAGACTTGAGTATGATTTCAAGCACTGGAAATACGACTCTAATAGCAAGGACTTGAGTATGATTTTCAGTGCTCACTGCAATACTCAAGTCCTGACTTGAGTATTGAGTAGAGTTCTGGAATACGATCCTAAGTCTCGATGGTTTCGCACAAATTTACAAATTTCTAGTATATATATAGTACAAGAGAGAGTCAGGATTTTATGTTTGATAAAATAGGGCTTACAACTATCTGTTTAGGCTATATTTGTGAGAATTCTAATTAATTTCTTTTGTATAGTGAAGAGACTAGGCGTATCCGTGCTATTGCCCCGTAGAATTATCACATATTTAGAACGAGAAATCACAAAAGGTGTCTTTTTCTCAAGCTGTTTTTTCTACTTAGGTCCCAAAGGACGCCAATATTCTTCGTGGCGTCCCGTGGCCACCACGCAGACATCGGCGGTTTGACCCCCGGTTCCATGCCCCCACACTCCACCAGTCTCGCGCAGGAAGGGGCGGCGTTCAAGTCCTTGTTGCTCGTTGACGGGGGGAAGTTTAATGAAGAAGAGTTGGTTGCTGGTAAGGGTATAGAAAATACCTTATCTTCATTATGTTTTAGCTCGGGCCTAGTAGCTTAACTCGAAAGGTACTCTTACGTATTTCTGCCGCTTAGCAATAATGTGGGCACATGGACCTTGTCAACTTTATACATGTGGGTGACGGGCGAAGTGGCAGTGTCACTCAGATCTTTGCGATTAGAAGCTGCTACTGCAACTGTTATGGACAAATGTAACGCTTACCACCAGGCGCGCGACATGTTCGTCCCGCCCATCATTATCAAATCATAAAATATCAATGTATATCAATACTAAATTATGATTTTTTTATTAAAAAAGTATCTGACCTCAAAAGTTTGCTTATCAGCTTTTTCTTATTGTATACAGCTGGGCAGTTGGGTAGCTAAAAAGATATGTACTCTAGCTGTACTGACCTTTGTTTGTAATATTCATGGGATTAAGCGTTTCCAAATTTTCAGGCCTAATGAAACCTGGCGAAGTACCTGGTTGTTCAGGCACAAGAAACCTCGCTGATAACTTGTCAGACCTGAAAGCTCAAGTCGCTGCTAATCAGAGAGTAAGTTAGAAAGGCAGATGATATTAAATTTTTATTGTATATTTTATGCTATTACAATTGCCATAAGGTATAAATTTCAATATTTTGAGACCAACCTAGGAAGATCGCAGCGTATTTGTCATAATAAGAGTTCGTCCAGGGAAGTACTGACATCTCACCTATTTCCACCGCAAAGCGTTAATGTGAACATTACAGCGTTCCGGTTTTAAAGGCCAAGGGTGCTGGTGAAATTTCAGGCACTTGGGACTTGTCAACTTGTGTCCCAGGATGATGGACGCTGTGGCAGTGTCCCAGAGATCTTTGCGATTTAAAGCTCTGAGTGGCACTGTAACTGTTATGGCCTGTCTCTTACTACCAGGCGCACGACTTGTTCGTTCCATCACTTTAAAAAAAGCACACTCGAGGATATCGCGGCAGCCTAGAGACACTATTGTTCTAAATTAATATGTGACCTGTAAACGAGGTTATGAAAAACTTTTTCCTACAATATCACTTTATATGGTACTAAACATTGACTTACAATTATACGCACGTCGGGTCCGCGCTAAAAAGTGTCCGAACTTATAGGGCGTTAAAATCGTATACAGAGCGTCATTCACGCTTTAGTCTTCGTTTGTTCGACTGACAGCGAAGCAAGCAAAATTAGACAGTACTGCGATGACGTTACAATTTAAATTCAACGTTTTAGCTTTTTCATATTCCTTTACATGTCACTACGTTTAAATAGGTTGACTTCGGACATTTTTTTCGTGGTTTTTGTATTAGACCCGTCGTCCATTTATTTGTAAGTCAATGGTACTAAAGGACATAATTATCTTAAATTTGGATACTATTTTCGTGTATATTTTTAAATTAGTACATTTTTTTATACATGAAATGTCTAATATTAGACAACGTCGCACAACTGGTAATCCTCTAATCCCAAGGTAAGTAACTAAAGCGCTTGTGTTATGGAAATCGGAAACAACGATGACAGTGCTACAAACCGGACCCGAGACAATATAGAAAAGTTTTTCTACATTGACCCTACACAGGGTCGAGGATGACGATACCATGAAAGCCACTCGACCACGGAAGTTGTCAAGAGTAGAAAGCAAATTGAATGTGGGTACCACTTTTTCGATAACCTCAAATTGTAATCTTCTATTTCAGGGTATTCAATTAGTGGGAGAACTGATAGAGCAGTACAGCTTGGAAGTGGTCCAGGCTTACATGGGCCATATACAGAAGAATGCCGAGCTGGCCGTCAGGGATATGCTTAAGGTTGGTACGCAACCGTCAAGTTAGCGATAACGTTGCGGGAGAATAGTTGCTTTTTCAATTTGAAATTCGATGGTTCGACTCCTTGTTGGCATGGCATGGTTCCATGAATTGAAACAAGTTTTCTTCAAAAAAAAGGAAGAGGGTTTCAAATCGACTGTGCTACGCGATTACTCCGATTTGTGAACCGATTTCGATGATTCTTTTTTTTGTAGGAAAAAGGGTACCTCAGTATTGGTCCCATTTAAATTTGAAGAAAATGTTCCACCTCCAAGGGTGGCAAACTAGGTGATGAATCCGGTTTCGCGCACTTTTCGATAAAACTTGGCAAATAGATGTAATTCCACGAATTTTTGAGGTCGGTTTTTTTATATTTGTTTTGTCCAACCAACTCGTCGAGCCCTTAAATAGCGCTTATTCCTAGATGTCAACTTAAATTTAATGTTAAAAAAATTTATCATTAAACTCATTGACTTACAATTATATGGACGTCGGGTCCGCGCTAAAAAGTGTCCGCACTTGTAAGGCGCTAAAATCGTATACAGAGCGCGACACTCCGCTTTAGTCTTCATTTGTTCTACTGACAGCGCGATACTGCGATGACATTACAATTTAAATTTCGAATAGGTTGACTTGGGACATTTTTTCGTGGTTTTTGTATTAGACCCGTCGTCCATTTATTTGTAAGTCAATGATTAAACTCTCGAATTTTGTTTTATTCCCTTTCGATGGCGGCAATAAACAAACATTAATTGGGATTTTTTATTCCATTTGTTACGACTGGCAACTACTGAAATATTTTCAATTCCACTTGTCGTTAGTGGCAACAACAGATCTTTTTATCCCATTTGTCACCATCTGGTAACATACGGTTTTTTTTCCATTTGTCGCAGCCAGTGACGATTGGGAATAAACGCTTTACAGGTCCCATGATCCCTATCTCAAGTCAGCTGTAAATATGGGAGTAAAGGGCACGAAACGTTGATTTGTTTGAAAAAACAAATATAATGCAATTCAGATCTGAACAAATTATTTCATTTCTGGTCAGAAATGTAATATTTTTTAAACAATGTTCTATTTTAATTCACACCGCCGGTGTCGGCTCACGTTGACAACAGCTACTAAACATTTACAACGTAAACACGTAACTTTGAAATTAAATTCATAGGTACAAGCCGCTCTTTTCTCTCACTGAACCCATCACCTTTCAAAATATTGTATAGAATTCTCAAAACTCTGAAAACATGGTATATTTTCCATTACCACTTTATTTTGTTTATACAAGTGTATAGTGTAATATACTATAATGTTCCAGGAAATAGCTAAAAACGCGTTAGCCAAAACGGGATCTACAGTGCTGAAAGCTGTGGATTACATGGACAATGGAACGCCTATAATGCTCACTGTCACTTTGGACAAGGATGAGGGCAGCGCCCTCTGTGATTTTACGTGAGTACTAATTTTCTTTAATCTTTGTTGTTTAAAGATGGTTTTGTTCCAATGAACACGTCACCTCATAATGACACACAAGAAAAAGGTTACAAAACTTAAATAATTCTGTTCGGCTATTCTTAAGTCCGAAATCTACTACATTGTCAGTAACTTAGCCTCTCTACTACACGGAGATACTTAATATACACAAGTACGGCCCCATATAGTGTGCGTCCACATTGCCAGCCTACTGCCGTTGCGACGACGGGCGCGAAGTATCAAACATATGAAACCGCCGTTAACGTCCATAGTGTAGTGCGTCTAGTTTTCAAACTTTCCTATCCGCGCGTTATGGCCGCACTACGAGCCTAGTTAGCAATCGATAAGTGGGGCGCACTATAAGTTTCCGAAACGAATAAGAAAAAAATACTATAAATGGTCAGAAATGAATTTATTGTTCTCGTTTAACGCACTTTTTCATACGAATGAACCAGTTTTGAAAACATTTATGCCACTCTTCCGTGACAATCTTTGAAACATATTTGTCATACTCTTCGACTCTTCGGGTGATGAAAATCGTTGACCGCGTAACTGGTTCTTAATTTTTGGAAATAAATAAGTCACAATTTGCCAGGTCGGGACTGTACGCGTGATGGCTCATAAGGTCTACGTTGTTCACCTACAAAAATTCATTTGTCTGTCTGGCCGTGTGAGAACTGGCATTATCGTGGTGCAAGATGATACGGCGTTTACGGTAATTTTTACGGAGTTTGTCAATAACTTCCGGCAAACAAATGATCGTGTACCAATCACTATTCACGGTATAACGATTCTCCAAAGCAACCACGTGTCCAGTTTTATTAAAATAAGAAGCAATTTAGCGCTTAGAGACATTTTGCACGCGCGCCACTTTGGTTGGTTTCGTCTCATCTCGGAAAGACCCTTACGCTCGATTGCTGCTTTGTTTTGGGATCGTAACCATAAATCCATGTTTCGTCACCTGTTACTATGTCTCACACTAAATTTGACGCCCCTTCGTTGAATCTGGTAAGCATGGCATTGCACCAAGTAACGCGATCCGTTTTTTGAGCCTCAGTTAAATTGTTTGGGATCCACCGAGTCAGCGAGCCACCATGTCACATGCCTGTCTGTTTTGATCATACGGTACAGCATCGAAGTTTTTGTTGTTCACAGCAGTGGACGGGCGAACATCACGAAATTCGTCACTGAGATTCACACGACCGCGTTTGAATTCTGCAAACCAGCTATAAATAGTCATCTTGCAAGGTGCTTCATCGCCAAAAGCAGTTTGAAGCCGAGCGAAGCACCGCTGAGCTGTTAAATTACACTTAAAGTCGTAGAAAATCATACTACGAAAATTTTCACGAGTTAAATCCATGGTGATGTAGACAACCAATTTCTAAAATGACGCCACAATGTAAAAACAACTGACAGTCAGATGAAACAAACTGTATTCTACAGCCAAAGAGTTCCATTTTCAAATCTTGTAATTGCTTTTTAAATATTGTTTATGTAAGTGGCCAGTTCCGGAAACTTATAGTGCGCCCTATGTATAATGCGCGGTTGGCGGGGGTATCAAACCAGGGGGTCGATTCAAAACCTTACGATAACTCAGTTACCGACCGATTCGATTTGATATCAGTTATCGAATGATAGTTACCGAACCTCCTATTGTTTACAAAGTAAGAATGTAATATGGAAATCTCTTATTATTTTAAACAAAGTCTGGATTTTGTTAAATTTTATTAATTTATTTTAATGCACGACCAATGCATCCCTATATTTTAGATTTTTAAAGTCTGATGCGTATAAAAGGATTTTAAATTTTCTTATAATCTATTCCACCAACTCCGTAAACGCTGTTGGATAACGATGTCGTATCCGAATCCGAATTGAATGTTTAACTCGGAATGTTCTGAATAGCTCGAAAAGCGCCCTTCGATTCGAGAACGTTATCCAATGGAACGATTCGGTTAAAATATAGAAGAGTTCTGAATCGGGGTCCAGTTCAGTTTTCTCGCTCGCATGGCGCAAAGTTGCGAAAGTTTGTGTCTTCCCTGACGATTTTAGGTGATATTTTATTCAAGATGTAGTCAAATCTTGACACGGGCATTTAGTATACTCAAAGAATTTTGTAGGCTACAATTTCAATTCTTCATACAAATTAAAAGATTCACCATTCATTTCTCTATTTTTATTTATTTCGTGCACACCAAATCTTGTGTTTAACACCTCCCATGTCAGGATCGGCCTATCCTCTAGTACTTTTTAAACAAGATGTTCCTGCATCCTGATCTGCAGGTCGGAGGTGTTTTCCACAGCCTTTGAATAGGGTGATGGAAGCCTTAATAAGGTATAAATTTCATATCACAGGGGTACAGGAGTAGAAGTATGGGGCAACCTAAACGCCCCCCGCGCAATAACACTGTCCGCCCTGATCTACTGCCTGCGTTGCATGGTGGGCCACGACGTGCCGCTGAATCAGGGTTGCCTCGCGCCGGTACGGGTTATAGTACCGAAAGGTACGATATTGGATCCTACAGAGGGCGCTGCTGTTGTCGGAGGGAATGTTTTGACTTCGCAACGAATTGTTGATGTTGTCTTAAAGGCTTTTCAAGTAAGTATAACTATGTATAGCGATTTATCTGTATTAAAAAATATCATATAGGAATATTATCAATATAAAACTGCATAAGTTTCTCTTCAATGTTACGGAAATAAATTAGATAAAGTAAAGAAATACTTTTAATATTTTTCGCGTCTTGAAAACACTGCAGGTGGATGAATAAAATAGAACAATAATGTTTATATTTCGACTAAAGAACTAGATTCCAAGGTCAAAATATAAATTTTAAAAAATAAGTGTGACAGAATAAGGTGAAAATTACAGGTAGCCTTGAATTTTTCTAATGTTTTTTTTATGTTATTGGTGTTTTTTGTTTGTTGTTTACAGGTATGCGCTGCGTCTCAAGGATGTATGAACAACTTAACACTGGGTGAAACGGATTGGGGCTACTATGAGACTGTTGCTGGCGGCAGTGGCGCTGTAAGTTCATTTTTGTTTATCAGCTGGGACTCAATGATTGGCACATCATCTATAGTTCATTTCATGTAATATAATTCTTTTTTATGAGTATAACTCAAACTTTTTTATTTTAATAATATATAAATAATTACTTCCATCCAAGGGTTGTCTGCCAGAAATCGCTTAAAGCGATAACATCGTCCATTGTACCACCGATTATTTATTTTAATTTTAATTATTGTGTTTGTATCCATTTTGGTATAAATAAAGAATTTTTATTGTATTGTATGATTCCGGTGACGTTTGAGATCTGAAGTTTTTAGGGATAAAAATAGAATGAAAAAAAAATCGATTTAAAAATATCGTAAGGACGTAATTCGTAAGGCAGAGAGAATCGATTTGCATAAAGTAATTTAAGAACAAATAATAAACAAAATAAAAAGAATTCAATTATTCTGTTATTAAGTTACCAAAAAACTATACAAAAAAAATCAACAACAACCAAATAAAAAGACAACAACAAAGCATAAAATCAACTGCAAGATGCAACGGAACTAAATTTGAACAATTTATTACTCCAAAAATATCATGCGAAGCTCAAAACAAAAGAAAACGACCCGCATAAAAGGTGCAAGCACTCGTGTTGACGCGAGGTACCAAACAGCCGATTGATATATCGATTTTACAGTGTAAATCTCTACGGATAAAATATTCCGTTTTACGCATCAAGTAGTTGGGGTGATTTATTTTTATCTAAATCATTTCACTTTCTTTCTACATACGTACAGTAACTTTTATTTAAAATTACAACTGCATCAAATATTGTTTGTTTTTGGTACATTATGACAACTTTACTATTTCTTCCTTCAGTTTCAAGTAGGTCATTGTAGACTTTTTTTTAACGTACACACTCATAGCCCCGCACTAGGAAAACCCTGTGTCACGGGTGCCATGGACACACACATAGAACACCACAAATTAAACCCAAACTCACGAGATAAATTAATGTAGGCCATACAAATATTGTTCCCGGCCCGGGAATCGAACCCGGGACCTCTGCGGGGCAGAACAACATGGTAACCGTTCGACCACAGACAGAAATTTATTTATAATAAATTTACGTATATTAATAAAGAGACATTTATTTACAAGTGCCTATAGGTTATTGTATACATTTAGTTTTAACTACCTACAGGTCATTATAGACGCTTATTTACAAGTACCTATAGGTCATTGGAGACGTTTATTTACAAGTGCCAATAGATCGTTGTAGACATTTACTTTCAAGTACCTGTAGGTCATTGTAGACATTTGTTTTCCAAGTACCTATGGGTATTATATTATATTTATTATATATAGGCAGTGTTGGGCAAAATTTAATTGTTCTGGCAATTAAAGATTGACAATTAATTAATTGTCAATTGCGAAACAGCAATTAACGATTGATTAATTGGCCAATTGATTAAGTTGAGGGCCCCCAACCGAATTGATTTTTTAATCTGATTGAATTATTGATTGAAATTTAATTGATTAACGCCCAACACTGTATATAGGTATTATATTTAGAAATACCCGTAGGTCATTGTAGATATTTAGTTTCAAGTATATATAAGGTAGATTTTAGTTTCCGGTACCTATATGTCATTGTAGACATTTAGTTTCAAGTAGCATGGTGAAAAGCGAGTTCCAGTTCTTGTACTGCACAAGGTTTACCAAAATGTCATATCGCTGTTTAATGTCTTTAAAATGCGCACTTATTATTTTGTTTTTATTATTATATTTTTTGTAATTATTCATGGTTTGTGATATCACATAGTAAAATTAGGCCAACTTTTTTAGTAGTCCCAGTCATAATCTTTCATCTGTCCAGGGACCGGGCTGGCACGGCGCAGGCGGCGTCCATACACATATGACGAACACTCGCATCACCGACGTCGAAATCGTCGAACGGCGATACCCTATGCTTGTTAGTAGATTCAGCTTACGCAACGGATCGGGGGGAAAAGGTACTGTGTGATACGTTCCAATTTAGAGGGCGTATCTGCTCTTGAAAAAGGGGTGTATCGGGAATATCGTCTGTGACTATTTCTCGGTGCGATTCAAGGCTTTCTTTTACTATACCAAGTGACAGGACGAATAAATCGTGCTCCTGGTGGTAAGCGACACGCCTGTCTATAACAGTTGCAGTTATGAAAGAGTTTGTTCAGGTAAGTACTGCCACCTTACCTATGTCTGCCGCCAATACATTAATCAACTATGTCTCAGGTGCCGCGCGCTGTGGCAGTGCCCCTCAGATCTTTGCGATTTAAAGTTCAGCACTCTGAGTAGCAGTATTGCCACGGCGTGTCACTTACCACCAGGAGCACAACTTGAACGTCCCGTGACTTGGTATCCATTGGGCCAGTGTGGTGAATTATGGCCTCTCCTTAACCTCCTAATTTATTTATTTATTACATAGCTCTATGTACTTACAGTTTCCGAAAACGTACATAGAAGTATTAAAAAAGAAAATTAAAAATACAGAAGAAAAATTACAAAAACTATAATATAATGCCATTGACTTACAATTATTATGGACGTCGGGTCGGCGTTAAAAAGTGTCCGCACTTGTAAGGCGCTAAAATCGTATACAGAGCGCCAAACTCCGCTTTAGTCTTCATTTGTTCGACTGACAGCGCGATACTGCGATGACATTACAATTTAAATTTCGAATAGGTTGACTTGGGACACTTTTTTCGTGGTTTTTGTATTAGACCCGTCGTCCATTTATTTGTAAGTCAATGTATAATGCTATATAAATAAATTTCAGATTCTTATTCGATTAATACGAACCTAAACTTCCTTATAAAACTTCGTTTCCACTATTATAAAATAAATGTGACTCTTGATGATGAGCAATCAGGGTATTGGCCAACGATAACGCCCTATGAGCAGGGGCATGTTGTGTAGCATTACAGAAGTGCCAACGCCTGCCCTTTGTATTCGTATTATGGCAATAAAGCGCTAAAAACTTTTGCTTTTCTAATTTAATCAGGCACTTCTTTGTAAAATTTTCAATCGGTTATATTTTTTAACTAATGTAGATAAGAAGCGTATACCTTTAATTCGTGAAAGTAGCAATTACTGGTAATACATACTTCTGGAAAATCTGCTCACTTCATGCTGAACAAAGTGACGACCAACCATCTTGAGTCAGAATGGCTGGTCAAATATTTTTTTTAATTTGTCAGTATATGTCAAAGGTTATAATTATTTAGAAAAGGTAGCAAATAGATAGCAATTCTTGAATATACACTCAGTGTCAGATGCGACAGGCGATCAGCCATCCTGACGGTCACAAAAATGTCGGAGTAATTCCGAATACATATACAAAAAAAAAAACAGTCGAATGAAGAACCTACCCCTTTTTTGAAGTCAGTTAAAAATATGAATAGTAATGTATATGCCGGGCATATAAGCTACGAGTAATTGTAATTTATTTGCAGGTCGTTGGGACGGCGGAGACGGTGTGACTAGAGAGCTGGTGTTGCGTCGCACAGTGCAGCTGTCTGTTCTGACCGAACGCAGAGCATTCCAGCCCTACGGCATGAACGGTAATACTTTGAAGACTGTTTATTTAGGGTATTTAAATCGACTTTTCAATTAATCTGAAGGCCTGTTCAGATATAAGCGACATTCACTACCTCTTTGAGTAGTGAAATCCGAGCTGTAACTTTTACGAGAGAATAAAAAGTAACGATAATGGTCACTCTCCGCCCCTCCCTAGCTTTAGATACCACACCGCGTCTCTCATATTGACAGTCCATTGACGGAACGGCAACAAGGCTGTCAGCGAGCCGTTCGCTAAGGACGACAGTGCTATATATATTATATATATATATATATAAGTGAAAAGATCACAAAAAAAAACTTTACAATAATATATATATATATATATATAATAATATATATCACACGCGTTACGCATTTCCTTGTAAAGTTCTGTTTTGTGATCTTTTCACTAGAGCCATAGATATAACGTATAATGTATAATACTACCTCATCGAGGTAGACTATAGTAGTAGGTAGAGGGCAAGAATGTCCTTAAGCGGCCACGTGAAGGTACCCAATATTAACTAGCATGTATGAAGAGCCTTTGTGGGGCAGACATGGTGATTTACGTTAAGGCTCAAACTTTTGTTTTTTTTTTCAGGGGGTGAGCCGGGTGCCAGAGGATTAAATTTGCTGCACAGAACTAACGGGCGTGTTATCAATTTGGGTGGAAAAACTTCTGTGGAGGCATATCCCGGCGCAAGTATCTTCATTTTTGTTACGGAATGAATCTTGTGATCAACGACAAAAGGACCTTTTTTAATTTTTATGTAAAATTGATACACGCTTGGCCATTCATTTTGGCAATGGCACAGCGATAACGAAAATACAATAAGTAGGTAATGGGCATTGTATTTATTTTGAGCAATATAATTGTCCTAATATGTCAAATATTACTTTTAACATTAATTAATATTTTTAAACATTTTCTATTTATTTAGGAAATGAAACTATTTTTCCGGATTTAAATCGCAAAATTTAAATTTTCTATTTATTCTTATTATTCCTCCCATTGTTTGAGAAAAGCACTGTATAAGGCTCGGCGGGATTAGGATTGCTTATTAATACATTTCAATTTAATAGCCGTAGAGCTCCTTGTGAAAGAGTTCGTCTAGGGAAGTACTGCCACCTTACCTATTTCTGCCGCCAAACAGTAATATCAGCATTACTGTGTTCCAATTTTGAAGGGTAAGGGTGCTGGTGAAATTACAGGCATATGGGACTTGTCACTTGTCTCAGGGTGACGGGCGCAGCAGCAGTGCCCCCAAGATCTTTACGATTTAAAGCTCTGAGTGGCACAGCAACTGTTAAGGACAGATGTGTAGGTTACCGTCAGGCGCACGACGTATTCGCCCGTCACTTGATATTATAAACAAAATAAAACATTCCTCGCTGGTGCTTGGCCTTGTAACACATACTCGTCCAGCAATCCCTTCCCGGCCTCGTTCGAGCATTCCGCGCCTTGAGGCTGTATTATTTCGTCGACATTTGACGTCTCACTGCGCCTGCCTTCGCGCCACTTCCGCGAAAGAACGCGCTATGTGATTTTTGGCAGGTATCTAGTTTGTACGCTACGCAATTGACCATAAAGTTTATTACGCTATATACAATATCGTTTGAGCCTTAACGTTCTCTTGTGACATTTATTCGTGTATACAATTTCTAGGACAAATACATAATGAATTCACCTGGCGGTGGAGGCTACGGGCAAACCGATGAGTTCGCTACGTTTAAAGAACCAAGTAAACAATATGGCGAGTTCCTCGAACGCGGCAGCGTCTACGAGTACCGAAGCGCTCAGGAAGGTGTATAAAAACCTTTGTGGAAAAGTATGGTGATGTATAACCGAAATTAATCTTTAAAATATTGAAATGAATACATAATAATGGTGCTTACCACTTAGATATAAGATGAAAATTCAATAAATGATACTTGATTACCGAAAATTGAAATGGACAGAGTATATTTATAAACTTCAAGGAAATAATACATAATACCTCCCTCTGAAATATTATTGTACTGTATTTTGCTCTAGTGTATTTTTAGAACAAAAGTTTTGTATTCTTTTACTATTTATTTTTAATCATTCCGACCCTGTGTTATTACTTAAAGTTTAGACAGATATACTCTTACCTATTCCAAATTCTGATAATTACTAATGTTAATATTGCAATATACGAAAAAACTAATTCGCAATGTAACCATAGCTTTATTTGAAATAAATTACATAAATAAGTACAAAATATATATTTTAGTACAGTGGTCTAAAGTCCAAGCTTTGAAGCGATCCGAAATTAACTGTACTTGCATTTAGTACCTATCGGGGACACCAGATGTCGCGATGAGTATCAAGTAATCTATTTTTGTAATTAATTTGTAAATAATTGAGAACTACAATTTATCAAAGCTACTCTGCCCTGATAAGCCGAAAAGAACTATCTCAATCGGAGTAAGTTTTGAGAAAATTTTTTTCGCATCTTCAAAAATATTTTTGTTTGAAAATGTTAAAACTTATTTATACGTATTTTTCACTAATAGATTTATTTACATACCTAAATTATCCGCACATTGTACCATTATACCTATTTAGTGAGATACCGCAATTATGATTATAAAGAAAGGTTTCAAAAATTGAGATATAAAATACTTCTTAGTGTTTTTTCAAATGTTTTAAGTTAGATAGCGCTATTTCTATTATACCATTAGATGCAAAATTTATTGCTATTGAATGGTATGAAAAAAAATCTAACTAGGCGTATCTCAGAGATAGCGCCTTTCGGCTTAGCAGGGCATAACTTTGTTAGTGATAACAATCAAATTAACTAGATGGCGCTTATTGCGCAGATTTATAAGGACTATTATTTTGTTTAGGATTCGGGCCATCTCGCAAATTTGTTTTTTATGTATTTATTTATAAGTGCTTTACATGTGTTGTCGTTACAAAACTACTTATACATTAATAAACACATGCACCTTGACAGGCATCGCGACATGGAAAGGGAGGTGGGCAGACATTAACTCCGTGGCTCTAGTGAAAAGGGGTACAAGTCAAAGAAGCCAACTTAACAAGGAAACGCGAAAAACACTTAACGTATAATATCATATTAAGCGTTAACTGTTTTTCGCGTCTCTTTGAAAAGTTGTTTTTTTTTTTACTTGTACCCCTTTTCACTAGAGCCACAGAATTATAATTTATCTTGGAAATACTCGTTCACATCGTAATAACTTAGATATTAATAGTTTTTTCAATACTTTTCTGAATTTGTTTACGTTTCATTCTGATTTTAATATTCTAGGAGTTTAGATTTTTATTGATATAGGATGAGGTCCGGAACTATGTATCTTCATTTGTATTGTATTTGTCGAAGTTAAAATAATTTTAGCACATGGTTAATACTTCGCTTCTTGCGAAAGTGTTTATGGACCACCTGTCTAGGCAATTATTTCTTCCCGTGATTCACTTGGATAATATTACAAGGAAAAAACTGACTAACTTATATTTCATATCCATGGCCATTTACATAATATAAACTCATCGAATATAAAACCAGAAATAGAGACGAAATGCCATTTAATTTGTTTGAAAACTATTCTGCCACATCATTACGGTGACAAGTGCGCTCCGATTGGCCAGTACGAATTTGAAACAATTGACGGGTGTCGTCAATTGTTTCACTTCAAATCGACCAGTTTAACTTGAGCTTTGCTATAATAGACGAAAATTGAAAAATTACGTATTTAATAATTTGTGATTTCAGCGTAAACGAGAGTTGATATTTAACAAGAGAGATATCAGTAGCACTTGATTAGTTGCCAGGGATGGATGGCCCTTATTTAGTCTCTATTTCTGGTTATATATTCGATGTATAAGCTACTTCCAGGCTACCGATCAGCGCCATCTTGATATAAGACCGCATTTTGGCCTTTTTTCAGAGTTACAATTTGTAGTATGGAGATTAGTAGTCTTCTCGAGTTATTGATCCGTGGTATGACATAGGTCAAGTTCTGTAAAATTCGAAAAGCTCAGAAGCTTGAACTTTAGCAGTGTAGTGCTAATAAACCAAATTTGTTATTGTTTTGTACATTTATAATCATGTTGTATTATCGTTTGTTTTATTTCTATTGTTGTTCTAATATTAATAAATGCAGTTATTATTATGTTGTTTTTTTGTTTAATATATAAAAAAACTGACCTCAAAAGTCATTCATCCCCTAGTTTGCCAACCTTAGAGGTGGAAATTTTCTTCAAATTTAAATGGGACCACATCTGAGGGTCGTATTCTAGAACTCTACTCAATGCTCAAGTCAAGATTTGAGTATGGTTTAAGGCATTTGATATCATACTCAAGTCCCTGCCAGTAGGGTCGTATTTCCAGTGCTTGTGTTTCCAATGCAATCCTGACTTGAGCATTGAATAGAGTTCTAGAATACGACCCTGAGGTACCATCTTTCCAACAAAAATAGAATCATCAAAATTGTTTCACAAATTTTAGAGTTATCGCGTAACATACATACAAAGACATGCAGTCAAATTGAGAACGTCCTCCTTTTTTGAAGTCGGTTAAAAATATGAACACAACGAAGACTTGCTAACCCAATATGAGGTTGATAATGTGTTGAATGGATTTGTTTCAACGTATATATTTTATTCTAACATCAAGTGACGGGACGAACAGTCGTGCGCCTGATGGTGGCTACACGCTCGTCCATAACAGTTACAGAGCTTTAAATCGCAAAGATCTGAGGGGCACTGCCACTGCGCCTGTCACCCTGAGACATAAGTTGACAAGTCCCATGTGCCTGCAATTTCACCAGCACTCTTACCCTTCAAAACCGGGACACAGTAATGCTGGCATTACTACTTGGCGGCAGAAATACGTAAGGTGGCAGTACTACCCTGGAGCTCTACTGCTACTGGAGTATGTAGCTGTTACGTAATATTTTAGAAATTAACTGATCCCTTTGAGATTTTTTTAAAATTACTACATTAATAACAATCCGTCTGGTATAACCCTAAATGTTTCATTTGTTTTAAAATTTCACGAAATGCTACGGGTGTTATGTATCCAGATATGCGAATTACTGTAACATCAGGTCAACGCAATTGCATTCCAAATGCGCCCCGTGCATTACAATGTGACCGCTAACAAAATTATTATTTTACGTGTTAATTATTAACTCACTTTTCGGCCCAAAGTTCCTAACATCGGACGTAGATAAAATTGCTTTAGTTAAGATGTTTTTTGTATAAGTACTTTTAGATCTACGGACGTTCTTAAAATTATTTAGTGTATCTTTAAGAAATACCTTTGTGGGAATTTAACATAGTTATTCATCAAAGTTTCTCGTCTATACTTCATCTCCACTGCGGCCATCCTATATAATTCGGGGACAACTTAAATTGGCAGTCTATGCTACTACGGGCGATACTTGAAAATATATTGTACAGGGTAGTTCATAAACCTGTGGTAAAGTTTTTAGCAATTTTTAACATTTCTAGTACTTTTACCTAAGTTGATTCTACAGAAACTTGATCCTTACCAGAAACAGAGGGTCAACTCTCGACCGAAACAATTACTGGCAAATAAATAATACTTGGCATAATTAAAAGACAATGTCAAGCTTCATTCGCAACATGCGTCTTTTAATTGGGTGTGTAATGGAAGATACTACAACAAATAATCTATTTTCACTTTGTATAACAACATTTGACATAATTTCTAAGGATATAATCACTCACTGTACATAATCAACAAAAGGTATAACTACAAAAGGCATAATTTCAATGTGTATAATGAACCTTCAGTATAACAAACATTAGATATAAATTAGGTGACGTAATGAACAAATGGTATAAGTACTACCAGTATAATGTATTAAATAATATAACACAATATTTCGTTTTACGAATAGTTGAAGTATATTATGTTGATAAGATTTTTTTTTATTATATTAAATGCAATCGCAAAACATTACATTTATACTCAGTGAATGTTATATCTGAAGTGTTCATATAAAATCAACATTATGCCATTGGTACATTGACTTACAATTATATGGACGTCGGGTCCGCGCTAAAAAGTGTCCGCACTTGTAAGGCGCTAAAATCGTATACAGAGCGCCAAACTCCGCTTTAGTCTTCATTTGTTCTACTGACAGCGCGATACTGCGATGACATTACAATTTAAATTTCGAATAGGTTGACTTGGGACATTTTTTTCGTGGTTTTTGTATTAGACCCGTCGTCCATTTATTTGTAAGTCAATGCATCGGTATATTAGATTGAAAGTTGTTATATCAATCGTCTATTATACTCAGTGATATCACGCATAAAATCTGTAATTGGTTGTTATATAAAACGAACCGCACCCCTTTTAATTAAGTCGAGTATTACATAGATGTCAGACGGAGAACGAGACTACAGGGCCCGGATCTAGTGGCGTGAAAAATAATTTGAAAATTGCCTTTTATCCTGTTGATTACAATTTTTTTTTTAATCTGTGAATGCCTATCGAAATTCATAGACAATTCTTCTAGGATAATTTTCCTGTCGTTAAGATGATCAAGGTATCTGTCCTTGCTGACTTGTATATCAAAAATTCTTCGTTTACGTGTTTTGCATACTGGGAACTACGCAATGATAATAGGGTAGAACATTAAATAAGTAATATAACGAAGATTTGGATTTTTAACTTAATTTTAATTTTGTGGCCTGCCACTCCTTTATGACACGTTTTCGAAGCGCACGCGCATGCTAGGCGTAGCGCAACTAGGTGGTTCAAAGATCACTGGTATTCGAAGTAGTCTATCTTCAGATAATGCATTATTAAATAATGTAAAAATTCTTTTTCTCAAACTTTAGTTTGTCCCACTGTCAGGTGCTATGGTCTCCAGCTGCTGCCAATGCCTCTCTGCAAAAAAAAAGAACAAAACTTACTTCTAAATACGATATAGTAGTAGGTTAAATAAATAAATATTAGACCACATCAAATTCTGATCCCAAAATAACTAATGCACTTATATTTTGGAATTTGGAAACAACGACGGTACTACCGCTGTTTTTTCGTGGTCCCACTAATTTGTTCCACTAGTACCACATATACGCAGATCCGCGATAATATTGTCGGTGTTATTTAAAAAGGGTGAAAGCGTCATTTCGAATAATTTAAATTATTTACGTCCTGTTTGAAAATTTTGGTTGTAATTAGGTTCAGTTTTAATCATCATCATCCTGTAGAACTGGCCGTCAGCTTGGAGAACTCGTCCCTGTCCTGAGCCAAGCGAAACAGATGTTTTACGCTGGCAATATTGGTCCATTCCCGGATGTTGCGCAACCACGACTTCTTCCTTCTTCCAATACGTCGTTTACCCTCGGTCTTGCCCATCATTATCCGTTGGAAAGTCGGTAATTTTCATGCCGTAGAACGTGTCCAAGATACGCAACTTTCCTTTTCTTGACGGTCTGCAAGAGTTCTCGGTCCCTCTCAACGCGCTGAAGAACTGTCAAATTAGGAACATTCTGGGTCCAGCTAATGTGAAGCAATCTTCGGTAGCACCACATCTCGAAAGCCTCAGGACGCCTCTGGGTGTCGGCTTTTAGAGTCGGCTTTCAGTTTTAAAACCGGACGTAAATATTTTAAAATAGTCGTGAAAAACTGAAACATGCTCCCCTGACAAATTTTTCAAAATGGCGCGATCGCCCTTTTTACAAAACACGGCGTTTTTGAAAAGTTAGTTTTACACTGATCCGGCCGGGGATCGTACACGGGATCTCAGACTGGCGAAACTATGAAAACCAGAGGGGAACTAATCAGTAACAGTAGCACTACGTCGCTCAACATCAGGTGAGGTTATGGCCAAGCGTGCTTCTGTTTTCATATAACACTTTTCTAAGCACGCTTCAATATTAGGTCATACTAAACTTATGTCCGGTATATTGTTAGCACGCTTAATGTTGAAGATAGCGGGATCCGATTCTTACATTAAAACTATTTGCATTATAAGAAATCAACGTACCTGTTTCCAAAACTTTGTGCATATTTGTTACTTAATGTACAAACAAAGATAGGTACTTTGTTAACAGGTGTTCTTATAAGTTCAGGAACTTAATGCACCTTTCGTTACTTATTTGTACAAAGATAGATAAACAAAGCAGGTACTTTGTTATCAGATGTTCTTATAAGCCCAGAAATTTATTACACCCTTTGTTAGATACTGTACAAAAAAACAAAGTACCTGTTCTCATAAGCCCAGAAACCATGTAGTTCCAACAGAATAGAGACTGCAGTATGCCCATGGCCGCTTCTTATTAAATCTTGTAAGGTGATGCGAGTTGGATGCTCGGGACGTATCATGTCGAAGATTTCGTCTTTCACGTCGTCGAAGTTTACTGGTTCTGCACCGTGCGCTACCATTTGCTCTTGGATCGCCTGAAGAGATAAATCCGATTGAAAAGATATCTTAAAGGGTTATTTCAAGAATTCCACAGTCTCGACACATCTAGCACAAAGGGACTTTAGCTCTACGACTTTTGGTAATGAACAATTTGTATGTTCATATAAGAATCAATGACAATCTGAAGTAAGTTTGTATAAGAAGCTGGAAAATGTAAGTGAGTTTGTACCCTGCTGCGTAAAACCTCCAAAACTGTATGGGTTACCAAAAATACATAAGGCTGACTCCCAACTCCGTCCCATAGTTAGCCACATTGACACACCAACCTACAAACTGGCTCAACACATAGCAAAGGTACTGTCACCGATGAGAGGGAACACTTCTACACATGTGAAGGATTCATACCATTTCATTAGTGGGAACAAAGATCTACGGTTAACTGATGATGACACCATGGTCAGTTTTGATGTTCAGTCGCTGTTTACCAACCTACCAGTAAGACTGCATTGAAATTGTACGTAGAAAGCTAAGAGAACATAATATGTCCATTGAATATGCAGAATTATTAGAACACTGCCTAACATCAGGCTATCTATTGTGGAATATTGAATTCTACCTACAAATTGACGGTTTAGCGATGGGCTCCCCGATATCTCCCCATTGTTGCCGATATTTTCATGGAAGACTTCGAGGAGCTAGTTTTACCAATGGTCCCAGCTAGGCCGAAGATTTTCAAACGGTACATTGATGATACTTTCACAATATTACCTAAAGATAGATACCTTCTTTCTTGGGCCATCTTAATTCTTTTAGTACTAAGATCCAATTTACTATGGAACAAGAGAATTGTGGTACTTTAGCTTTCTTAGATGTTTTAATTAAAACAAATCCTAAAAACACAGGCCATACCGTATTTCGAAAGAAAACCCATACAGATAGGTATCGCAATGGTAATTCCTATCACCATCCTAGCCAGTTAGCTACCGTGGGCAAATCTTTGTTTCAGAGAGCAATATGGTGTCTGCGACAGTAATCATCTAGCAGGGGAACTTCAGCATATAAAGCAAGTCCTACATGCGAATAAGTTGAAGATTCCACGCCAATGCCGCAGGCCCCGTGTGAAACCACCAACAGTCGAGCGAAGACCTGCCATCTTACCTTACGTGAGAGGTGTTACAGACAAGATAGGAAGAGTCCTCAGGCGTGCATCTATGAAGACCTATTTCAAGCCCCTGAGGAAGATTTCTCAGTTCCTGAGACCCGTGAAATGTAACATCCCCTTACAGGATGCAGGAGTTTACAAGCTTGACTGTCAGTGCGGTCTCTCTTATATTGGACAAACAAAGCGAAGTATTTGTACCCGCGTCAAAGAACATATAGCTGATGTCAAACACCGTCGCGTAAACAAGTCTGCAGTCTGTGAGCATGTCATGGGTAAACCTACACATTCAATGAAGTTTGACAAACCCCAGGTCCTTGCAAAAGAAGTCCGTTATCTACCCAGGATGCTGCGAGAGGCCATTGAAATTAAAAAACATCCTAATTTCAACAGGGAAGATGGTTTCTCCGTACCACCAGTTTGGGATGCAGTATTTCCTCTGATGAAAAATTCCAAACAGACATAGACTGCAGTACTAATTGTGTTTTAGTTTATTCTAATTTCTATTATTAATTAATAATAAATTGAACTTAATAAAAATTCATTCAATAAAGTAATTTGTAAAACTCAATGTAGCGTAAATTGGAATGTTTCTTTAAAATTAAAAATAAGGTATTTAATTAATAACTATTGTGACTATAGTGAAAAAATAGGGTGGTTTGCATTAATATTAGACATAACTGGTTGAAGACTGTACCACCTCAGTCAACCGTGATCATGGGACCTGTAAAGGGCCAGAAACGTCGGTTTGTTTGAAAAAACAAATATACGCGATTTAAATCCGGAAAAATAGTTTCATTTCCTATGTGTAACAATCGCGAAAACCTAAGAGCTCGATAAAAAACACCTATCTTAAGCAAAAGTGGCGCCATGGCGACATTTAAACACAACTTATTAGCACACAAGGTACAAGTACACTTCATTTCACTGGTTAAATTATTGTACACTTAAGCACAAAATGTAGTATTTGATAATGCGTGGAAAATATAAGGCAGGCCGGTGAAAATCGAGTCATATGGATGCCTCGCCACTGATTAATACTCAATCTCAATATTTTATTGCAAAACCATAATGTATACAATGAGATTTTAGTAACACAGAAAAGACCAATAATATGGACCCCGTCGGGCATGCAATAAGGAAAGGAGAGAGGAGCAGATTTGCATAAATTAATACCAACCTTAAAAAAATAATTCAACGTAAACGCATCCAAATATCCCTGCGAATTGATATCCAATATTCTAAATAGATACGCTAACGCTGCTGGCTGTTTCCTATTTTCTAGGGCTAGAACTAGGTCTAAATAGGTCTTGTAGTCCATTTCACCGTCATATGTTAGGCATTGTTGGAACACGCGTTGGAGAAACGCTCGGGTTAGAGTCCCGGAACCATATCTGTAAAATAATATCACGGTTTTAAAATTTGACCACAAAAAACAGATTTAGTCGTGACCGTTAGGATGACTGGTCGCCTGTCGCGTCTGGGGGTCTACTCTCGATCTCCGTCCGAAACAATTACTGTCAAATAAGTAATATTCGACAAAATTAAAAGACAAGTATCATATATGAAGCTTCATTCGCATCACGCGTCTTTTCATTTGGTCAAGTATTGCTTATTTGGCAGTAATTGTTTCGGACGGATGTCGGACGGAGATCGAGAGTAGACCCCCTGGCACTGAGTGTATATTCAAGAATTGCTACCATTTGCTACCTTTTGTAAATAGTTGTTACCTTTGATATATTCTGAGAAATAAAAAAAATAATTGACCAGCCATTCTGACGAACCGACGTAGAAGAAGTACCAACGCCTGCCCTTTGTATTATGGCAATAAAGCACTAAAAACTTTTGCTTTTTAAATTAATCAGGCACTTCTTCGTAACATTTTCAATCGTTTATATTTTTTAACTAATGTAGATAAGAAGCGTATACCTTTAATTCGTGAAGGTAGCAAATATTGGTAATACATACTTCCGGAAAATCTGCTCCCTTCATGCTGAACAAAGTGGCGACCAGCTATCCTGACGTCAGAATGGCTGGTCAATTTTTTTTTTCTCAGAATATATCAAAGGTAGCAATTATTTACAAAAGGTAGTAAATAGCGGCAAATAGGTAGCAATTCTTGAATATACACTCAGTGCCAGATGCAACAGGCGACCAGCCATCCTGACGGTCACATTTAGTCGGCTTGCCATTTTAAAATTACAAAGGTGTTCAGTAGAACCTGTGTGGACAGTAATCCAGGTCGAGATAAGTCAGGATTTTCAGAAGGTCGATAGCCTCTGACTACCCAACTCAGGACAGGCGTATTTACGTCCTATACAGGGTGTATCAAAGGTCGGGCTATATTTAAGCTGATGAAGGCGGGAAGGAAGCAGAAAAGATATTTCAGGACTGCCATCAAGTCGATAGCCCCTGACTACCCAACTGAGGGACAGGCGTATTCACATCCTATACACGGTGTATCAAAGGTACTGCGATATTTGATTTCGGATACGGTTTCGGTTTCGAATACGGCAGTTTGACGTTCGATTTGGGTGTTGTGAATAAAAATGAAAAGAAATCGTACGATATCAAATCGTATCGGTCGACAACTGAGTTATACTAAAGTTCTGAATCGACTAGAATTAAGAGCTGCATTCCAAATGGCTGCAACCAAACTGCTATCCAATGCAACTAGAAATTCTGAAAATAACTCATGTGTATGGATATTTAGTCGCTTTCTGACCTATATAAACATATGAGAATTGGCTAATCCTTGTTGTCATAAAGAGTCACCTAGAAGTAATATAATACATACCCAGCTAATTCATTAATACTGAGCATTCCATTATGATCTCTATCCAGGTTTAGATACTGCCCGTAAACACGTAGAGCTGATGCTGCACTGAACCAGTTCTGCTCTTGGAGCTCCATCGGCAGGTCTTCTTCCCGGAGCTTAAATATAACATGTATTATAAGCAGTGGTTTATTATTTTTCCAATAGAGAGTTCTGGAACAAATAAATCGTGCGGCTACTCATATCAGTTGCAGCGAGAGAAAACCTACCACTTGGCAGCAGAAATAGATATGGTTGAAGATCCCTGGACGAACTCTTTCACAGGGAGTTCTACAGATGCTGGTACATTATGAGAAACTGTAGAACATCGTTTAGAGACTCATTTAATTGTTTAACTTGACCAAGGTTCAAAGATGGAAACGTCATGAGGGTACCTCCCTGTTGGAGGTGTATGAAAGAAAGTATTTTAATTCACAATCCCTTTCAGGCCAGCATTATATCCCGAAGTGAGGTCTCGGGTCATAAGATTATGACCCGAGACCTCACAGAGGAGTCTCTTGCTCAGTTGGGCGATGTATATGGGTTCATATGGCATACTATGCGAAAATTATAGGCAAGGCATTGAATTCTGGCAGCATACAACAGTATGCACAGTCATTGTCAAATAAAAACAAAGCCGTCTTAACATTGACTTACAATTATATGGACGTCGGGTCCGCGCTAAAAAGTGTCCGAACTTATAGGGCGTTAAAATCGTATACAGAGCGTCATTCACGCTTTAGTCTTCGTTTGTTCGACTGACAGCGAAGCAAGCAAAATTAGACAGTACTGCGATGATATTACAATTTAAATTCAACGTTTTAGCTTTTTCATATTCCTTTACATGTCACTACGTTTAAATAGGTTGACTTGGGACATTTTTTTCGTGGTTTTTGTATTAGACCCGTCGTCCATTTATTTGTAAGTCAATGCGTCTTAACTAAAATAACAGATAACTCAAGGGTCTGCAGTGACGGAACATTCATTGCATTCGGATTCGAAGCAATATATTCCTTTTGGTAAAGTGTCCGTACTGGCGAGAGAAAAGCATTTCATTCCGCGGAAAGAACGTGAAGCTGTCAAGATTAGTCGTAATTCGAATTTCAATCGTGATAGTGGATGGTCGGTACCCCCCAGCTGGAAAACAATGTTAGATACTACGTCAGTGGTTAGTGTAGACGAGATTTTAGAAAGTCACGTTGTTAGTGTAGTGCGCAATCCTGCGTATGACTTTAATAAAAATGAAACAAACTATAGTCTAATTTCTTTAGATACTTAACCAAATGTAAACGATCTTGATACATCTTTTTATTCAAACAAATATTTTACAAATCAATAGGTATAAAAATAGGCGTGCAATTTCGTATGAAGCTAAGTATTTGTATTTTGCATTTGAAGGTAAGTAAACTTTTTTTTTATAACATCAAGTGACGGGACGAACAAGTCCATAACAGTTACAGTGCCACTCAGAGCTTTAAATTGCAAAGATCTGTAGCGCCCCTCAGGGTAATGGCTATCAATAAAGTTATTATTATTTAAAAAAAGGTGGATTTTACTGATTTTTGTTGAAGTAAAACTTATGAATTTCTTGCATAAGTAATGTGGTGGCGCTAGTAATTGACAAACACCACTGTTCGACATCTTTTTTAAATTAATTTCTAATAAATGTAGGACAATATTTTCTGCTATAGTAACACACTATTTTGTTATTGGTAAGTGTCAGTTACTGGGTGTTAATTATTGGTGAGACTATCGATTACTAATAAGTTAATTAGTGGATTTTTGGCGTTCATTACCGGAGATTTTTTAAATAGCGAGTGACGTAAGCGACACACCTGTCTATAGCAGTGCCACTCAGACCTTCAAAATGCAAAGATCAGAGGGGCACTGCCACTGCGCCCGTCACCCTGAGACATAAGTTGACAAGTCCCATGTGCCTGTAATTTCACCAGCACCCTTACCCTTCTAAATAACGGAACGCAGTAATGCTGACATTACTGTTTGGCGGCAAAAATAGGTAAGGTGGCAGTACTACCCCGCCTTTTTTTAACTGCATCCGTGGCCGAACGGTTACCATGCCGGACTGCCACGCAGAGGTCTCAGGTTCGATTCCCGGGCCGGGAGAAATTGTATGGCCTACATTTATTTCTCTCATGAGCTTGGGTGTAATTTGTAGTTGTCTACGTGTGTATTCATGGCACCCGCGACAGGGTTTCCCTAGTGCGGGGCTATGTTGAGTGTGTGCGTTACTCTAGATGAACTTTTTCAGGAGGTCTACTCGCGACTGTAACATCATTTTATAAGTGTGTATTTCATTAAATAGACATCTCAAGATTGTTTACATTTAGTTAAGTACCTAAACAGATGGACTATAGAGTAGTTTCCCGCCGACTAACTGACCGACAGAAGTACTGAGTGATCAGGCTGCCAGGGCTTTGGCGCGCAGGACCACGAATTGGTTCGAAACATGTAGAGCAAATATTCGACTTAAATACGTGTGTTATCTGTTATTTTATTTAATATCTCTGAGTCTCACGGTGGTTTTCTATTTAAAACAAAACCGTATTTTCTTACCTCCAGCAAATCATCTAAGAAAGAGCAAGACAGCACATCTCGAATTCTCACTCTACCAATCCTTAAAGGGTCTAGGAAGAACAGGAATTTCCTCGCGCATGTGCAAACGTAGAATGATGTAAATGATGAATCCAGTCCGTCTAGTGCTGCTAATGAGGGTACCAATTCTGCTATGTAACTTTCTAGGTCCTGTATAGGAATTAGGTTTAGGTTATATTCTGGTGATTCTTTTTATCACATTCTACCAAGAGTGGTGGTTCTTCTATATATAATAACTAAATAAATTAATTACAATTATACTATTAATTAAATTTTTATTGAATTGATATTCAATTATTTTTTGTGAAATTACTCCACTAGTTTGTTATAATTATTAATACAAAGATTGAACACTCAGAAAAAATTCCTTCGATCCGGTCGGATTCCGACGGAACCGACGTCTTCTTGCATACCGTGTCAGACGCTATACCAACTAAGCCACGGAGCGAACCAACGGACCTCACGAATTTTTCTATGTGCTTGCGTCGTGTCTTTGTACTTGGTCTTTCAACGACTTTTTAGTCGTAGCGCCATCTATGAGAAATCTATGACAGATTTATCACCCAGTTAGTACCTTTACAGCTACCAGTCCTGGCGAGAGATGTCGCTATTCACTGTATATTCACTGTATAATTAAATTTTTATTGAATTCATATCCAATTATTTTTTGTGAAATTACTCCACTAGTTTGTTATAATTATTAATACAAAGATTGAACACTCAGAAAAAATTCCTTCGATCCGGTCGGATTCGAACCGACGTCTTCTTGCATACCGTGCCAGACGCTATACCAACTAAGCCACGGAACGAACCAATGGACCTTACGAATTTTTCTATGTGCTTGCGTCGTGTCTTTGTAGTTGGTCTTTCAATTTGTAATGTAAATTCAATTTAATGTAATTCTTAATTATTTACTTCATTAATAATAATTATTTTCGGTTAATAAAATTCATTTTATTTTATTTTTTACTTTCGCTAACGATCAGGAAAAACAAGATAAAACCTGCATGTTGAAGGTTCACAACCCTTAGAAAATATGGGAAGTTCCCAGCCATAAATAAATATTACATAACATCACATACGTTGCCCCGACTCGAAAGTAAGTAACTAAAGCATCCATTAAACTAAAGCATAACCCCCCTCTGCTCTGCCCCCGCAAGGCCGGGATGTAAGCAGACCCTCCGGCTAAAAAAAAGATCTCATCTCTACACTATCCACAATGCAGTTACAATTATATCTAAAACGCGTTTGACCTAGATCGTGTACGTTGTCATGCATTGGGCTGACTATGCTCAACATTCTCCTTAGCAGAGGTCTGTGAGAGACCATAACCTCAGTACAGTGTACTTAAAAAAACTGACCTCAATCATCCCCCAGTTTGCCAGCCTTAGAGCTGGAATATTTTCTTTAAATTTAAATGAGACCACTACTGAGGTACTCTTTCCAACAAAAAAATCATCAAAATCAGTTCAACATGCCGAGTAACACACATGCAAAAAAGAATCATACAGTCGAATTGAGAACCTCCTCCTTTTTTTGAAGTCGGTTAAAAATGGGTCACATAATAGGATCAAAATGATAATCACTATACTTATTTTTTTCAATGAATTGCATAAGACATGTTTGCTTTGCCAAGCAATATTAATAATATAATATTTGGCAGTTTGAGCAGTTTGTTAGAAGACTTCGATTCAAATATGGCCAGATCGAAGAAATTTTTTCTAAGTGTTCGATCTTTATATTAATAATTACAACAAACTAGTGGAGTAGTTTCACAAAAAATAATTGAATGTCATGTAAAAATCCTGACATTCAATAAAATACTTAATTACAGTGAATGGCGACATATCTAGCCAAGGTTGGTAGCTTTAAAGGTGCCTAACTGGGTGACGAAATACTTTCATAGATTTCTCATAGATGGCGCTACGGCTAAAAAGTCGTTAAAAACCAGATACAAAAGATCCAACAGTGAGGTCCGATGGTTCGTTTCGTGGCTTAGGTCGCATAGCGTCTTGCACGGTTTGCTAGAAGACGTCGGTTCGAATCTTTGTATTAATAATTTTTGAATTTATCTCCAGTGACACACATATCAACCTACTATTCTCAACATAAAAAAGCGATAAACCGTAATATTAAATGATACTCACATGTTCTGTCAAATATCCCTGCCCAGTGACATCATAAAGTGACAGACCAATTCTGGTCTGCTGTAGCCACACCCTTCTCATCACATAGTTGAAGAGGGACACTGCACGAACCTTCCCCATTCCTCCTTCTGCTGCTTGTAGACGACCGAAAACTTCTGCTGTGAAATATGGCCTGGGAAAAGGTAAGACAGGTAAGCTAAAATATGGATTAAACGCTAAATAAATAACAAGTTATTTTTTATTGCTATTAATTAGGGTGGCTTACTCAGGCCTGTATGGGTGGCAATCATCAATGTAATTAATTAGTGGTGATCACAATACATAGTAATTACTGAAATCAATAATTAGTATATACAGAGCGATTTTTTTTAAATGGGACTTTATTAATATTGTATGACAAAACATTTTATGAAATTTAAGCAACTTCAGCTGTCTCAATTTTTTTCATCTTCCTTCCTTAAAAGCCCTTCCTTAAGATCCTTACATAAAATTGAATCTATCTGCTCTAAATTTGATCAATTTTATTCATTTTTCTGGACAACTCACGTTTGAACAAAAACGGATCACGCTTGACTATACCAAAATTACTTTCTTGAATAAAGACTTAGTGGTTCCAAAGACAGGATTAGGATTTCCCCATAATGTCGCATTAAAAAAAAAACATTGTATAGGTGTGTAGTCACCACTAATTAAAATCTGGAGAGTACTTAGTGGTAAATTGTGTAGTAACTGACGCGCGAAGTCAATGAATCGTTCTAGATCTATATTCTCAACGTAATTTAATAGAACATGTAGGTACTCTTAATATGGTTTCTTTAGGTGTCCTTTGGTTTCCTAAAATAAAAACTTAAATAATATAAATATTTTTGTTCATTACTTTTATGTACATACTTTTAAGAGGACAGTAAGAGAAACAGCGTTTTTATTTCAATTTGCATATAGCTGTGTTATATAGGATGTTAATTAAATGACGTCATACATTTTAACAAATTGTTTTTAATCTAGCTGCAGAAGCTGCACTTGCTTGCTAATGTTTCTAGAATTCCATGTAAATTTGTTATTATTGATGTTTTGTATTACCTACCCTCTGTTCTATGACTGTTTGGTTCTTTGGAATAAAATTTAAAAAATAAGGAATTGTGTGACAGACAGTGGAAAATTATTTAGCTCAGTTAGTTGAATTCTAAATGAGTTTACACTTCAATCTTATTGTCCGTGGTGGTACACACAATGCACTAGCTAGTTTGTTAGTGTGGCTATTCTTTCTTTACAGGACTTAGATAGCCTAGTTATTTCCCCAATAATTGTAGGCATTTTGAGATATTCGTGGATCTCGTGTCTTTTAATAACTATGGAGCATTTGTAATTGATTTAAGAATACTGATTGATGATTTCTAAAGTCATTTTACAAAATAAAAGAATTTTTGTTGATGTTTTATTACATTACTTTCATTCCAAAAGTGTGATTTATAATTACAAGAAACTTGCCTGTATTTGGGTCCAGCATCATCTCTAATCTTTCTAAACTGCAAATAATCTATAGTCAACTCATCATTGTTAGCCATACTATAGCTCCCATTAGATTTCTCCAGCAAACTCCAAAGATGCTTTAATTCATTATTATCTAGTAATTCTTTACTTTTTTTCTGCAAAAATTGCGCTCTGGCTTCTTCTCTTAATTTTTGTGCTAAAATGTCATCAGGGCGAGGTAATTTGAAATAGAATTTGGGTATTTTCTTGTAGGATTCCTCGTCATCATCAAGTTTTGGTTTGTATAACTGTTTAAATGTGTCGATTTCAATTTTCTCACTCTCTTGTTTTGTAATGCTTGTGCCTGTTTCTGTGAATTAGGAAAAAGTTAAGTAGTAAATAATAATAATGCACACACTCAACATAGCCCCGCACATAGACAACCACAAATTACAACCAAATTCACAAGATAATTAAACGTAGGCCATACAAATATACTATTTATACCTGGTTCGATTTCCAGCCCGGGAATCGAACCAGGGATCTGTGCGTGACAGTAAATGTTCGTCCACCGAGGCAATATAAATAATGTTTTATATCAAGTTCTCAGGTTTTTGCAATTGCTATTGCTACACATTGGAAATGATATTTTTTTAAAGAAACAATTCTTTTTGTTTGAAAAAAAACATATATGATGCAATTGAATGCCATCTGAAATGAATCCATTACTTTGTTATAATTGAGGAGCATCGGAACAAAAACTGCAAAGCCACATTTTGACTTTTCTTTTTATCAATGCCAGGTGGTAAATTTTGTTTGTTTCTATGAATAATTTAGCAAACCTGAATATCAACCACTAACTCCGCTTCAAACACATGGACGTGACCACAATTTTTTTTTATACATAACAGACAAATGACTCCACTCCACCTGAAGTTAAGTGGAAAGTGGTATCCAAACGCGAAGGAACCTAGTGCAGCGATGAAACCCTCACTGCACTAGCCAATGCGACAAATCCATGAAATGATGCCAGACAAAGTAGAATCAAAATTTAACAGAGCATCAGTTTTTGTTCCCTAACGTAACTATATAAATCTAAGTTTGCTTTAGATTTGGTTCTAAAATTTTAACTTGGCTTTACAGGCGTATGTTCGAGTCCTTGTCAGATTGAAGGGATTTTTCTGTTTGATCTTCATATTAACAAACATACATGCAATTTATATACCAAAAATTAAACACATCAATGTTTACTTTTATAAATTTATCAATCAGTCACTCTGGAGCCAAAATTGTACGATGAGCTAACCCACGCTTCGTACAAGAACAAAATTTCTAATAATCTAAAAAAAAATGAAGATTGGTTTGCTTTATGAAAATACCCCTTATTTTCATAAAGCAAAACAATCTTCATCAAAATAAGTTTGTGTTGGGCTTCAACTCAAATTGCGGTAATTTGAAAAGTGTATCTATAAATACCTACCCTAGAAAATACAAAACGAATATTTGAAAGAATTACCGTCCAACTTTTTTATGTATTTTCTCAAACGATTTTTCAATTCTATATTTAGTTTTGTCGCCTTGCTGTCCGGATTTTTTGCATCACCAGCACCATTTTCTTGAACAATAATTTCCGATATATTTTCATTTACACACTGGGACATGGTTTTACATTTCAAGAAACGCCTGTAGAAGTAAAATACGAAAATATTCTGAAATATGAATTATTTTGGAAAAGTGACAACTAGGCTGTAATTTGTAATTCGTTTGGCGCAAATTTTTTTTCATAAAATTGTGGAATTATTTAGTTTTGTGGCAAAAAAGACTTATTTTTCAAGGTATATTATTTGAAAAACTATAATTTTCTTTTTATCTGACTTGAAATAAGTTAATTTAAATGGTCTTTTATTAAATAATAGGAGATAAAATAGTTCAACATATCACATCGAGCTACGCTTAAAGAAACGTGATTGACATAGTTAAGGCTACTCGACACTAGAGGTTGCAATAATAAAAATTGATACGCTACTTGCCGCTAGAGGCATTGCAAACTATTGTTTATTGTATTCCTATCCAGTACTAGATGACGCTAGTAAGCAACAGCTCATCACTTTTTTTGTAGAGATGGCATAATTAATTATTTACCAGTCATCACCTGCTTGCAACGCATCAACGCTCAACTATTACTGCATATCCAAGGACGATTTATTTATTGTTTACCATATTGAATTGATTCGAGTGTGATAATCTCTACATAATATAGTTTCTATAACTTTATTTATTAATTTTACTTCATTTAATCAATATTTAAATAACAATAAGGAAAGGAAACATGCTTAATATAAAAGGATAGAAAAACAAAACGTTTTATTTGTTTAAAAAGTACGTGGTGTAAAATTTCATTGAGAGTTGCATTTTAGGGGCGTCTCGGAGGCTGGCAACTTCGGATAGCTAAGCGTATTCGTTGGCGGAAGTAATTGTCAGTTTACTAGTAATTAAAAGCTCCTTTGAAGAGTTTCATCTGTAGTGTCCAGGGTACCAGAATTCTAGGGCACCAATCATAAAGCCAGACTAACTGAAGTTCTTGAATCTTTTGCGCTCCTTGACAATTATTAGTACATTATTGCAGAGGCTGGGAAGTAAGGGATTGCTGGACGAGTATGAGTTAGTACTTTGTATTTAATATGAGTCAAGCAATCCCTGTTCCCGCCGAGGCATGTATAGCATTTTTCTCAAACAATGTGAGGAAATAATATAAGACTAAAGAGAGAATACATCTTCCTCTCTTTAATCTTATATTATTTCCTTATATGTGTAATAGAAAAAGTAAAAAAATATTAGTTAATGCTAAAAGTAATATTTGACGTGTTAGGACAATTGCTAAAACAAAATGTTATTGTTTTTCCAGGCACATTAATCGTAGTCTGCTGAACTTCTGATGATGTGTTTGAATGTTTGACTATTACCGTATTTTCGTTATCGCTCTTCTCACCAAGTACCATTCATTTCCGCGACCAAAATACAAAAAAAAGACGAAAAAACAAAAGAATACCAAAACCCTTTAAATGAATAAAATGTAAAAAAACTTTTTTAAAGTGTTTTGCTTGATTTGTTCCAATAAATGCTGTGTAAAGGCTCTCTTTACTAAGTAGTAGATGTTAAAAGATGGTAATGGTATTGCCGCTTTATGTCTAATTCTTATTTATTTAAATGTAAATGTTACTGACCGTTACCCTTAGAAAAGTCCAAACTCATGGTACAATTTCGTTAAACTAAGGTGAACGATTATTTTATGGGGAACTATAGGTTTTTTACAATAAGATTCCGAAGATATTAAGATTATCATTTCCTAAGTTTAAAACTTACATTAAATGTATTTTCATTGGAAAGCCGTATAATAAAATTGAAAACTACGTGGTAGATAAAGATGTATGGAATGACGACATGGGTCTAGATTCCACACAAATTTGATTCTAAGTATCAAAACGATACAAATTCTTACAATTTGTATGGGACACATTTTCAGTATTTGATAACTTAAATTGATTGTAAATTGCAGTTAAACGTACCTAATTATTTAAATTATATAACGATAACGGGCACACACTCATATCCCCGTAATAGCGAAACCCTCCATCGCGGGTTCCATGCACACACACGTTGACAACCACAAACACTCACGAGAGAAATAATTGTATGGCTATACAAATATTAAATATTTCTCCCGGTGCGGGATACGAACCCGGGGCTTCTGCGTGGCAGTCCAGCATGGTAGACGTTCGGCAACGGAGGCAGTTGAATGTTAAATTTCATGGTCTTCCTTTTATTTATTTTATTTTTATTTATTGAGGGAGGGATTTAACATGCTATGTTATTTTGAAGAAAACAACCCTTATGATTGAGGCTTTCGATCAGTACAGTAAAATTACAGGTTTTTTTTTCACATTATGCGGGTTCGATTTCCGTTTCAGACAGGCGATATTTAAAAATCTTTGAATGCAATTCGAATTGTAACTACTGTCTCTAAGTTACTTTACCTCTATGTGGCATAGCCGTGATACGCTCTGTATATAATTACAAAGATTTTTTTTGTTTTTATACCTTATTTATGATACGTAGTCAAGGGACGAACAAATTGTGCACCTGGTGGCAAGCGACACGCCTGTCCGTAACAGTTGCAGTGCCACTCAGAGCTTTAAATCACAAAGATCTAAGGGGCGCTGCCACTGCACCCGTCACCTCGAGACTTAAATTGACAAGTCTCACGTGCCTGTTATTTCACCCTACGCTCATATCACTGCTCGGCAGCAGAAGTAGGTAAGGTGGCAATACTTCCTAGACGACCTCTTTCACTAGTAACTCTACTACTAAACCATACTAAACAGTACCCGTATACTGAAGTTAAATAGGTGCAAATGTATTAGATCGTTTTATAATGTATCATAATATATCTACCTATAATATAAATAGTTCGTGTTACATATAACACCATTCTAATCGTAAAGCTGCTTTATTACTTCGACTTTGCGTAACTATACGTAACGCGAATTTCCACACAGTAATCTAACAACAATTTATGAAAAAAATATCGTCTAAACTGTGCTCTAATGGCTGTTGTCACGTCGAACCACGAGTTGTGGTCGATTTTCGCATTACCGTCTTGTATTACACCTCCCACTTTCCGCATAGGCGGGTGAAATCTATAAATTAGCCAATAACGTTGGTGTAAAGTTTTGGAAGTGGCTCTAAATTCACTCAAATTCTTTTTTGAAATGCACACTACCACTATAGAAAATGGCGGGTTTCTGTAGGTACACTTTTTTCACGACTTTATTTTTTTGTTTAAGTACACTGGTTACCAAATGACGCATTATAAGTTTTGTTTGAAGGAAAATCTTATTCTAAGATCTTGCACTTTCTTAGTGTTATATAGTTTTCGGCTAGTGTGGTAAACAAAGGTCAATAAAAAATTTTTTACTGACTCTTCACTTAAAAAAATAGCGGATTTTCGTAGTCGTACTATTTACACGTTAATATTTTAGTTTTTTCACATTGTATTTACATTAATATAGTTCCTTAATTTTTGTTATCTTTTTAGATATAGATAGATTACTATTCCTTTTCGTACAACGGCGGGTTTATGTTTTACTCACACTTTTAACACGGTTTAGTTTTTAGTTTGTGTTGTAGGATTTAACGGAATTTAAATCTGGATTTTAAATTCCACATACACTACTTGGTGTACAGTTTAGTGGATATTTACCTTTTTATTTGCACATGACTATGGTATATACAAAATTAACAAAATAGAAGAAATACAATTATCGGGATCACTTCTAGCGAACTCTATATCAATGTTTGTGTGCTCTACCGAACTACGAGGGCCTGTGGTTTAATATCTTAGGCTTTCGTACGCCTACAGTTTCTCTTTAACATTGATTACAACTTGCTGCTTTTCATAAAATATCGGTATTATAATAGAAATTTCCCCCTGATTGTTCGGAAATGAGTTTCCCGCAATCCCCACAGCGCAAGGCTACTTAATTGCAACCTGAATACAACAAAAATGTAAAATTGTTAGAATAATGGGCAACATAAACAATCAACTTTAGAAAAAAAAAAAAAGGATAATAACAACTTCTAATTTTTTTCCTAGCAATTTCTTACAAATATTTTTAAGCTAGAACATTTGGAGATAATATGTTGAAAAACTGTCTTCTAGTAATGATATTTCATATAGATAAATTACACGTTCAATACTAATATAATGTATACGTATACAAGGTGTCCCACGGCTGTACGACACAGAGGGAAAGTCTTTGAAATATTGTAGATAGGCTATTTTGTTAATACAGACTTTCTTACTTTTAAAAACAAGTTTCGATCTGTTTGAATTGTTTAATTATTAATATGAAATGGGCGAGACTGGTGTGTGAATGTCGGTGGTAGTTGGCTGTGCGAGGAAATCTGTAAAATCGCGGACCTTAAGAATGCGTACAACCTTGTATATTATACCTATAATTCTTTTTACGTTCAAGGAAACAAGTGGCGTAACTTGTATAGCATTTTCCGAGTTTCCCACGAGCGCATGCGCTGCGTTCACCGGCTTATTGTTAAATGTTGGTATGTAATGTTCAAAGTATATAATGCTATTTCATAACATCTTAGTAGCTTTTTCTGTGTCTGCAGCTATACTATGACTTTCACATGAGTGGATAAAAATAATAGTACTGGTACAACGGGGAGAAATGATGCCTTCCTTCCTGGAAAATACCACTGATGACCTTTTTGAATAAA